TACTAGTTAAATGGAGTACAAACATTAATCATCCCTCACATTGATGATCATGGATAAAGTCAGGAAATATACAAGAAATATCAACATTAATGTCCACTCTGTTCCACATTAATCTACAACTGGTGATACATTTTCCCTTCACTCTCTGAGAACTGGCACTGTCGAGGTTCCTTGTAGAGTAAATCTTGAGCTGTGTATGCAAGTGGACTGGGGCTTCTCTCTGGGGAAATCATAGAGGATGAACCTGCACAATAACTAAATCCTGCAAATGGGCTGGGGCTTCTTCCTGGGAAAATCATAGAGGATGAGCCTGCAGAATAACTAACTGTGGGCTGTCTTTGTGACATGAAGAGTTCCATTAACTTTAATTCATGCTCGCTGATTTTCCTCTTTGAAAAAATGCATCAGCTGTGTTGTTGGTTCATTATTAATCACTTTTTCAAAAAGCTCCACAGCAGTGGACAAAGCACTAGAATAGTTCTGAGATTTGACCTTCTTTCTTCTACCCTTCCTTATAGGCACAAATTGTTTCTTGTCAGAGTCGTCACCTTGGTCAAAACCGTCACTTGATTGCTCATCAGTGCGGGTTCTGTTATCTGATGCTTTTTTCACTGGCTCCCCGTCCAACAACTGCAGTGATGAAGAAGACTCTACCGCCATGTCAGGGTTACATGAATCCCTTGTTTGAACCAGTGGAAATAGTTGATTAAACCAGGCTCCCAGCTGCTTTTGATCTTGAACCCTTTTTACGCCCGTCGAGGTCTTGTCAGTCAATGCAATTTTTTTGCATTCGGATATGCATTTCTTGAACTTGTTCCTGAGCTGATCTACGCTAAACGGGAAGCTACCATCTTCATATCTCTGGCCCAAATCTTTGAGCACATTAGCATATATTTCTGCGTTCTTCGAATTTTTCGTGTTCGTGAAAATCAACTTCTTCTTATAGTACTCGCTACGGTATATCACATCTACTAAATCATTGACATGTCGCTCTTCCCATACGCTTCTCCGTCCCTTTCGCTTCTTTTTCCTCGAGCTGCACACTTCACTCTGTTCACTGACTCCTGTGTCGGATTCGTTTGAATCAGTCTATTTGTCGTTATCTGGAGAATAGCTGTCGAATGATGCAAGTGAATATCTCTTTAAAAAAGTTCGGGAAACGTCGGCGGAGCTATTGTCACCGTCGGATTCCTCTTCTCTCAAGCTTTCGCGGGCAAAACGGGTAGATTTTTGCGCCACGACGCCATTTGTTTTTTTTATTAGTGCGCATGCGTAATAGTATGCAAATAATGCAAAATACGTTAAATTAATCTATGAATTGAGTTCGGCGCGACAGTAGCACAACGTTTGAAACCAAGTCGTGCTACTGCCGTGCGGCACGGCAAGGTCTGCCGTGCTAAGTAGTCGTGCCGAACCTAATTCAGCCGTGCCGCGCTTAATAGTTTCAAACGGCGTGCTACTGCCGTGCTTAAATCGAAATAACTATTTCATTTGAGTTCGGCACGGCAGTAGCACGACGTTTGGAACATGCCTCAGGATCCTGTTCACGGTTCGAGATGTTATCGGATGTTAATTGACTTGATACCCGATAGCCTTTCCATATTTGTCCTAGTGCGCTGATTAATTCTAAACAAATAGATAATGATTTGGCGAATAAATGATTGTGTTGCGTTATTTTTGGGATTATGTTGGGGAAAGTTTTGGTGGTTTGGGTTAGGTAACCTAAGTGCAATAGTCATTTATTTTTACTCATTATCATTTGTGGAGATGTCAGGTGTCTTGATTTTGATAGATGGTAATGACCTCTCAGCCTAGAGCAAAGTCACTCTCATTTCACCAGTAGGGCTCAAAGTAAAGCTCAAGACAATCTCTGGGCCTAGAATACCAACTGGTTGGCAATTCACCTCTATAATAACAATACTGTAACATGTTAAAGAAAAGGTGTGCGGTTGAAAAAGTAATCGGTATTTAAAGGTATTTTCATCTCGTTGGTTTGGCGGTTGCGAAGAAAATCCATATGTTTGACTGGACAGAACTCGGCGGTGAACTTAGCCAAGCTCTTTGGACAACACAGCCAAATTCTCTTATTAACTTCCTTTGATCAAGTGTACGATTAGGAGTGAAGTTTAACCAAATTTTTTGCCATTCCTGAGATAATTTAGCCTACTTATTGGGCATTTTGATATGTGTCTGATCTCTTTTCACTGCGATTTTCTTTTAAAATCTCAGGCAGGATGGAGTGAGAGGATTTTAGAAAGGATTGATTCCCATTGTCTTGAAGTAAGATTCAATGTAATGGTTAATTTTGGTGGTACAAGTAGGTTTGACGATATGTGAAATTCCGATATTTCTTTGAACACGATTCCTGTATATTTTTTGTTGTTTTCCAAAGTATGTAGAATCGCATGTACGGAGCATGTACAGTCGCATTCGTGGTGTGCGGAAACAATATTCACTTCTTTCTTCCAAACAGATGACACCGAGAGGATTAATAATTTAATGAGACTAACATGCAATAGAAGAAAATGGGTAGAATTGCAGCTCATGGTTTTATTACCAAGTTTTATTTGGCAACAGTTCTGACCATTCCAACCATCATAAAATAAAAAGAACACAATTATGCAAATGTTACGTAGTTAACTGCCTTGTACGTTTATATCACTGACTTCATTCACCAGGGGGCTTGTGATTATTAAACATTTTTCACAGCATTTTATACACAACAATCCAAATTGATATCCATCACTTTTCTTAGCTCTTTAAGATAACAATGATCTCTCCCATTGTTCTTTTATAGGGAACTTCTCCCTACGTAAATACGTAATGAAAAAGCTCGAAAACCATTTGCTTGAGATTTCGTGTCTTGCAGATTTTACTTCAAGATTACTTTGAAGATCCTTCGGGCAATTCTCTTCGATGACAGAAGCTATCTGCTGAGAATTATCATTCAAATGAAATAAATTCCTGTTTGCGACCAAAGTTAAAATCTGCTGATAACGTTCACGATAGAGAAAAGAGGTTAACTATCTTATATGTTAAAAACCTTCTGCACATGTACCCACGGAGCGATTTAGGAGTTCTTCTTTATACGCTAAGTATATTTGCTTCATATTCAGTGTGTACCACAGTAGCGTGAGTGCCAAGGAGTTGGGCGGTGAAGTTTGTAGATGAAGTAGGATCCACAGTTTTTCACGGGAATATCTGCAGAGTATTTGCAACCGGTGGAACAATCACTTAAGCAGACCCTCCCGTAAACTTCACCATCTTCCACTGTAGGATGAGCACCATTCAACCAGCCTGGGAAGTCTGCATCACAACTGCCAGCTGACACATGCATTGTTGGCATTTTTGTTCCTGCAGCTCCCACACAACGATACCATCCCTCGGGGAGTAAGTAGTCACACAAAGATGATCCATGTATTGGTGTAACGTAACTGCTCTTTCTATCGGCATCACTCAGGTCTCGTCTATTGAAATTAAATAAAAATTACAAAAGGTTGTGGTATCAAAGATAAATTTTTTTTGTTGTTGGCATTTTTCAAGTCAATAAGATCGAAAACAACCAGACAGGAATTGTGTTTTACGAGAACAACTATGCATTGAGTAAATTTGCGTTGTTTAAGACATTTTTTATCCTCTCGCCTCCTTGGTGCGGTTATTTAGTTCACATATTTGGTATTTTCGATTACAGTTATCGCTTTAGCACGTGATCTCTTGTCCACATTTGACATCGTAGAAGTAAGGAGCCGTCACTAACCACCTTCTGAAGACCGATCACCTGAGAGCCATTCCTTCTATACATCGTTCTTACATTGATCTTTAGCTGTGACGAACTCCATGGCAAAGGCGAAGAGGAAGAATCTTAAATTTTGGGATATCCACAACATGCTTTTTACTTATATTTAATCTGCAAATATTGAGGATAGGACACCATAAGTACATGTTTAATTCCCGCCTAGTTACAGCTTACTTGAAAAACTATCTACCTAACCGATAAACAAAAATAATGTTCATAATAAATGTCATGCACTGACTAATGGCCCGCCTAAAAATGGGCGAGAAAAATTCATAGGAGCTCGACAGGATGCTAATCGAAATGTCAGGAAACAACGATAAGTACAATTGCAAAGTTATGTTAAAATATTTGAGGTTTTTTAGCTTCTCTCAGATTTTGTGGAATAATGACTTTGATGTGCTTATCTAGTGTTGTTAACTCGCGAAGATAGCTTTACTAAATTGGCTGGTAAAACAATTATCTCTTAGAGTGTGTTTCTTCTCCTTTATAAAACAAAGAGTCCAGTTATCAAAAAGTCTTAGTTAAAAATTAGGTATAGAAATAATCTAAAAAGGTCTGGTGTGTAATTTCCCTAATTAGTTTGCCGTCAAAAATTTACCAAACACTTCTTCGGGATTTAAGCCAAACTTATTCGTCGTAGCTATAAAGCTGATAAATATCAGAAATGCAGTCCTTAAGCGCCTGATTGCTTCTGAGCTAAAATGCTGTCTTTCATCAAGGTATTATAACAACGTTTGTTTTAAGTCATTGTATAATAATTAACATTAAGAAAAAAATCATCTTTTCTGTTTGGCTCTTCTTAAGGAATGAATTCAACAAAGTTCGGGCCGGAATTTAAGTAGTATAATTGTTCTGTTTGCAATTTTTGCCAAACAATGGCGAAGATACTTGTTTCATTAATCATAAAGTGAAATTTCATCGGTATAAATTGTTAGCGTCTTGGCACGAATTAGGGTTTGGTAAATTTTGAATACAAACTTACGAAAGCTACTTTAAAATCAGCTAGTCGACAGTTGTATAATTTTAGTCTGGAATCTTCGAGCAAATATTGATGATCTGTGATGTAGTTCATTTGTTCAATGTAAACAAGATTCCATTGGTCGAGAAAGACATTAAAACTGAGGGTTCAAATGAAGCTACGATTCGAATTTAAGCTCAAGATCAGGCCAAGTAAATCTAGCAACATTTTACGGAAAATGCAAGCAAACTTACGAGATTGCAGAAAAATTTTAACCGTTTACCTCTAAGCATAACGCAAACAATTCGGCGACTGTAAAGTTCATTTAAGTTAATGACGCTGCAAATTTGACAGGTTATTTTTATCTAACGTGTCCAAGTTCTTTTTATCTTCACGTTACTTAGATTTATGATGTGTGAGGTTTCTCTCAAATTATACCACTTAAGAATTTCTCACATTTCTTCCAACCCCTTCCTCACCAGAAGTGCATGTATAGTTTGTTTTAAAATGAGATACAAGACAGGTCCTAAAATCTGTTAATGACCATCATTTAAATACAAAACTTTTAAACTAACAGAGACTCGATTTTCGCTCTCATTTTTTCTGGGTTGCTTGTTTTTGTTTTTTTTTTTTAACGCGAGGCTGCTCAATCTTCATACATCTTTTAAGTGTGACATGCGACTGAACAATAGAAGAGAGCTTTCGAGTAAAGTTTTATTAGAAATGACTTAATTGAGTTGGAATTGCGGGATCCTAATGTTTTCTAGTCTAAAGAACCTTTTATTTGAATTTGAATTTGAGACCATGAACAGGCGGTCTAAATTCTGAAATTCAAAGCCTTTTAGACAAACTTTAGCGCTTTTCCACGGACGAGCTTTCCTTGGCAATATTTACACTCTTGTTTTGTTTATACTGCTAAGAACTACAGAAATTCGAAAAAGGCACTCTGGAAATGGTGTTTCTCCTAGGAAAGAGACTCGAAGTTTGATGCGTACTCATTTAGCGTCACTCTTAACTGCATGTCCACTAAATGTTGTTACTATCTGAGTTGTTACACCTTTGTTCACCCGCTTCTTTGATATCGCCAACTGTTAATTACTTGCAGTTATTTGGGAATCATAAGGGTTTTTCTTAGACAGAGTTGCAGCTGAGATGTTGATCGGCGTCACGATTTAAAGATGAAAATGAAAACGAGTGAGGCAAACTCCAAATATTTGTTGAAATGTCTATCAATTGCTGTTTTGAGTTGTGAAATTTGGCGATACAAAACATACTCGGACCGTTAGATTTATGAGAGAGTATATTCATATTATGGTAAGTTTATAGGAAATAAACGTTAAACAAGATTCAGTTTTTTCCCTTACCTTAATATCACTGTGCTTGCAATTTTCCGTCAGCTGTATAAAACAATTACGCAGAACATTTGCGCTAAAGATTCAGTTTAAACAAAATGATTTGATTCCTGTTCCATATCAATTTAAGAGACACGATATGAGGTTGACCTTACATTAAGAATCCATCGATTTAAATGAGGCTTTTTAATTGAAGGTCAGTTGAAACAGAGCAAAGCTTTGGTATCGATTTTATTTTTAACGTTATACATGGCAGAACTTGATTTCTCTACCGTTTACTCGAATCTCAAAGTTGTTCTTTAATGGAAAAAAATTGTCTTGTCAGTGATTTGTTTGGATGTAATTTGTTCCTAAATTTCTCCTTCACTATTCAGTTTCTTTGAGAAAGCAAAGATAATAAAGTTGGAATCTTATTCATAAACGCAAAATATGTTTTCTTTCCCTGAAGGATGTAGTCGCATTCCTGTACCAGTTTAGAGTTGCTTTGCGAAAGAGGACTGAAAAACATTGAAACGATTATTTTACCAGTATTTGTCATTTTCCAGCTACGTGTATGTGCCAAGCTGTAATAGAAAATTTAGGGTGTGCTTGTAAAAGACGAGTGCTCCCTCCTTTGAAGTCCTTAATAAATATTTTGCACCTGGATATGTTTAGGCTTAAACGCTTGGATTTTTTTTAAATGTATCAATACACAGAGAAAGCACGTTCGATTTTACCGTTGTATTAGCATAGAGTAAATATATATATTTTTTTCATATTAATGATAACAGAGAACTTCACTCACTCTGAAAAGGAATAGAGAATGATAAACACAAAATTATTCCTTGGAGCCCCTGCGCTCACTAACGTCAGGGAGACTTGATTATCAGCTCTCAGAAACTCTTAAGCCTAAAAGATATATATTATACCACATGCTCAAAAAAAATTGCCCTAAATATTTCAGAATGATGTGTTGACTTACTTAAGGACGGACGTTACTTTACGAGCTCCGCTAATCTTAATCAAGTTTGGATAATTTTTCGTTTCGTTTTGGATAATTTTTCGTTTCTTTTTTCACGATCGTTTTTCTTTTTTTGCTTTCTGAGAGATTCAAGAATGCCCGAGTCTGTTGCTAGCCTTAAGAGAGAGAACAGTAAGCTTAAAGATCAACTGTCTGTCATGGCGGATGAGATTGCTAAGATGAAGGTGATGCTGCTGGAGCAGTCAAAAAAACCTGCAGCGACTAATGACGAAGTAGAGCAAAGCTTAGAATTCATGAGTAAAGAATATGATGACTTTGAGCGATTCAGGGTCTCTGCTGGTAAAGAACTTGATCGCTTAGGTGCCATGCTTGATGAGATTGCTGTTGAAGTTAACAGAGTTTCCAGGAGCATCGATGAATTTCAAGAGTACAGTTATCAATATAATGTTAAGATTGTTGGTGTCCCTCAATTGAGTCAAGATGAATCCTCGGCTTCTACGAGTGCGCTATGTGAATGTTTATTTAAGGCAATTGGATCCGCTGTATCAATTCATGACATTGACACAGCCCATCGAGTCCCAACGAGAAGCAATGACAATGGCGGCCCGCGGCCAATCATTTGCCGATTTATTAGACGATTGTCAAAAGATGATGTCATGAATCATAAAAAAGAAATGCAAGTAAAGTTGCCCCATCTGCTGTTGGTTTACCTGACGATGCCTCCCTTTCCGCTGTTAGAATTTTTGACCATTTAACGCCAAGGATGCAAAAGGTTTTATTTGAAGCTAAGAGGTTCAAGGAGCAGTTTCACTATCAGTATTGCTGGTCGAAGGGATCGCTTGTTTATCTTCGTAAAGATACCACGTCTCGAGCCATCAAGATTAAGGATATCACGGACCTGCACCGATTAACGAATGGACGTGAAGGCTAAGTATTCATGTTGATGTAGAGTTGTTTGTCTGTTTTTAGATAATAAGTATGAGTGTTAGCAAGAAACGTGTTCGTTGTACAATTAAATCTACCCTAAGCGAACTTCCATACGCGAATGTTGAAATTATTAGAGCTCATGGACAGTTTAATAACATTCTCAACAGTGACTTACCGACCAAGAAGTACTTAGACAAACTTCATAGTATTTATGATTTAGATTTGTTTCGCTTAAATACCGAATCAACATTAAATCCCGACAGAAACTTAAGCATGCAACAAATTAGATGTAAATATTTCTCACCCTATAGTTTTTCTATGTTTAAAGAGTCTTTGTTGGAATCAGATAGTCAATGTCCTTTCTCTATGCTTCATACTAACGTAAGAAGTTTGCGGAAAAACATTGATAATTTTCAAGTCCATCTTTTAGATGAACTTGACTACCAATTCAGTGTAATCGGTATTACAGAAACAAAAATTACAAATTCATCTGGGCTAGATTTCAATGCCTGCATACCAAACTATCAGTTTGAATATGTCCCAACACCTCTATCATGTGGAGGTGTTGGAATGTACATTAATAATTGTTTGAAATATAAGGTTCTGGAGAGAACATCTAAAGACGCTTTTCAGGCTTTATGGATCGAAATTGAATCCCTAAAGAGTAAAAAATATCGTTTGTGGAGTGATTTATAGGCAGCATAATGATCCGGAACAATTCCTCCATTATGTTGACTTTACTTTAGAAAAACTTAGCTCCTCTGATAAAGTTGTTTATCTTATGGGCGATTTCAATATTGATCTCCTCAAATCTGAAATTTCCGATTACTCCCAAAATTTTTTGTTATCTTTACAATGTTATTCGTTCTTCCCGGTAATTGATAAACCAACTAGAGTCTACAATAATTCTGCCACACTCATTGATAATATATTTCTGAATAGATTTGATCATAAAATCTCAGGTGGAAATATCGTGTCAGACATTAGTGATCACTACTCCCAATTTTGTGTTATCCACAGTCTTATACCAAAAAATTTTACTGCTAAACATAAAATTCGCGATTATTCCAACTTCTCTGAAGAATGCTTTATTAATGATGTCTTGGATACTGATTGGGATAACTCAATGACATATGGATCTGTAGACAAATGCTTTTCTTCCTTTTACAATAAATTTAACAAGCTCATTAATAAACACGCTCCTCTCAAAATCTTATCTAGGCGCAAGGCTAAACAATTTTCCAAACCGTGGATAACTAAGGGCCTACGTAAATCTATCAAAATAAAGAATAGACTCTTTTATTCAGGAGATATCTCAAAATATAAGCTGTATAGGAATAGAATTGTTACTCTTTCTCGTCTCAGTAAAAGATTGTATTATGAAACTTACTTCACTACAAATCTAAGAAATGTTAAAAAAACGTGGGAGGGGATTAATGAACTATTGAACAGACAGCGTAACAGAAAAACAGTATCAGCCCTTCAACGCTCTAACAACTCTGGAGTAACACAAAATCCGTCTGAAATAACCAATATCTTTAATCAGTACTTTGCGTCTATTGGACCGCGGCTTGCACGCAATATATCACCTTCCAGGATAAATTTCCAGGACTACCTTGTCGGCACTAATCACTTTAAGTCTTTCTTTTTTGATCCCGTCGTTCCATCCGAGGTGGACTTGGAAATCTTGGCTATACCCAGTAATAAAGTATATGGCCTATATTCTTGCCCGGTTCATCTTTTAAAATCTGGGCGCCATATCCTTTCTCCACTCTTAGCTGCCATGATGAATAAGTCTATCTCAACGGGTATTTATCCCCATCTTTTGAAGCATGCCAAAGTAATTCCTATCTACAAATCGGGGAGACGAAACTGATCCATGTAATAACCGCCCAATTTCCCTCCTTTCTGTCTTCAATCGATTATTTGAGAAATTGATGGCTAAACGTCTTAAATCACATTGCGAAAAAAACGGTATCTTTTTTACTTCTCAATATGGATTTAGAGACAAGTGTTCAACCCAACATGCAATTTTAGATATCTTAAGCAAAATTCAAACTAATATTGATGCAAAGTTATTCTCTTGTGGTATTTTTATTGACCTAAAAAAGGCTTTTGATACGGTGGATCACTCAATCTTACTGCACAAATTATATCATTATGGAGTCAGAGGAATAATTAATAACTGGTTCTCTTCGTACTTGTTGAACAGGAACCAGTCGACTCAAATTGGTTCAACCGTGTCGAATATAGAAGAGATAGTTTGTGGTGTCCCTCAAGGGTCTGTACTTGGCCCCCTTCTCTTTTTGATTTATGTTAACGACATTTACCGTTGCTCCCAGATTTTTGAGTTTTACCTATTTGCTGACGATACTAACTTGTTTTATTCAAACAAAGATCTTAAGGATCTTGAAAAAGTTGTTAATGATGAACTCGCAAAAGTGGGTGACTGGTTGGACGCAAACAAACTTTCTCTTAACACTAGTAAATCTAACTTTGTTATTTTCCATCCTTACCAACGCAAATTGGACTACATAGTTCACTTGAAAATTTATAATAACGATCTTAAAAAAAAGTGTATCTCTAGAACAAAAACTTTTGTGAAATATCTAGGAATTCTGATAGATAATAACCTCTCTTGGAAGTATCATATTGATTATATCTCATCTAAAGTTAGTAAAGGAATTGGTATAATTGCCAGGTTAAGACATCTTGTCCCATTTGCCACACTTCTTAACATCTACCGCTCCTTAATTGAACCCTATATCTCTTATGGTCTTATTGCCTGGGGACAAGCTGCTAACACTCATTTAAATAAGGTTCTCATTTTACAAAAACGTGCTCTACGACTAATGTATTTTGCGGATAGCAAATCTCATAGTGCCCCCGCTATTTGTTAACTCCAGAATCTTACCAATAACTATGCTCTATTCTCATTTGGTTTCCTCTTTGATGCATGACATTGATAATCACCGTGCCCCGTCTAATATTTCTATGCTCTTTATCCACTCCGAGCAGGTTCATCACCATTTCACAAGATTCTCAGCAACGGCTAATCTGTACGTTAAAGCGTCTAGAACTAACCAACTTTTATTTTCTTTTGCTAGAATAGGTGTAAGATTGTGGAATAGCATCCCAAAAGAACTTCGTATTAAAAACAGAACCCCGTTTAAGCGTGAACTTAAAAATCGCCTGTTAAAACTTTTGGAAATTGAGGAGATGAATGTTGATATACGCTGCTCTGAAATTTGTAAATATCTCTTGATAAAGTAACTCTTCGTTTAAGTCTTGTTTCAATTGTATTATATATCTTGATAACTTTGCAATTGATTATTTAATTATTCAACGGACTTAATTTTATTTTATTTTATTTAACAATTGTATTTTTATTAATGATTATCTTTGTTTAATTGTATCGGTATGTGATCCTTAGCAGAGACAGCACTTGTTTTAGAAGGGTGGCCCGCCTAGAATAGCTTGCTAATTGCGGGTCACCTAGGTCTGTGATAATATTGTATTGCTAACAAATAAAATTGAATTGAATTGAATTGACTTAAGAGAAGCCTTCGGAAATTAGATATGCACTTTGCGTCAAATCGTCGCCAAACAGCTTCGTTTCTTAACGCACAGCCTGTGTGCATTGAAACTTGAGTCCGAATTAAGTCCTTAAAAAAAATGTTTTAACTGTAGTTCCGTGACCAAAAATTGATGCATTAAGGACATTTATTTCTTCTGAGGTTTCTATTGTAGGACAGACACTTTGTGGACGCAAATAACAACCGCCGAACCTGTGCGGCTTGAAGATAATAAAGTCCTGAAGATTCACCTTTTTCAAGCAGAAAAGAAGTACAACCAGTCAAGCAGTTTGAACTTTATTCTCTTGACAATTATTCCCAAAAAATATTTTTGACTTAATTCAGTTAAAAATTGGGAGAAACGTTGTCTCGAATTATTTATCCAAAGTGAGCCTCATGATTTATGCTAGCAATTGTTCTTTTTTTTAATGTCATTTGTCGTAAAGACTAACCCAGCCCTCAACACATAGCAAATAAAGACAGTTCCTGCACTAGATTTGGATCAATGTTTTGCTTTTTTTCATTTGATCTCCTTCAAGGCACCTCGAGGGAAAGTAAAAGAACCAAAGTGGAATTCGACCATCATCGTTTTAAAGCAAATACTCAGGTCTTCTATGGTTGGCAATTGAAGGTGATATTTTAGAGAGAATCCTTGTAGCCTTTGTATAAGAAAATGTCCCTATGGAAATATAATGGTTTTTTATGTTCTATATGATAAATTTTGGCCATGTTTTGAAACTGTGAGATTTTGGAAAGCGATATTTCACCGACTCAAATAACTGAAAAAAAATTACCGTGAAACAGCACTTCTAACCTGAAGCGAGAAAATTAAGCAGTGCACCAAGTAGGCCTTCTAAATCTAAGCTGATATCAAAGAAACTATTCAGTTTTCTTTCCGTTTCTAAATTATGTGGCTGTGCGAGTCGAGATCCTAATGACTTCTAGTCCTAAATAATCTTTTATTTTGATTTTTATTTTAGATCATGCGCAGGTGGTCTAGATTCTGAAATTTCAAACCTCTCGGACAAACTTTGGCTCTTTTCCACAGACGAGCTTTTCTAGGCGGTCTTAATAATCTTGTTTTGTTTCTACCGCTAAGAACTACAGATATTCGAAAAAAAAAAAAAAAGAATTGTGAATATATTTCTAAAAAAGCGTCTGGGACATGGTGTTTATCTCCGATAAGAGACTCGAAGTTTGACGCGTACTCATTTAGTGTCACTCTCAGGGTCTTGTTCACAGTTCGAGATTTTATCAGACGTTAATTCATTCGATGTCTTTCTAGCGCTAATTAATTTTGAACAAATAGATAATCGTATGTTTTACGAGTAACCCATCGTGTTGCGTTATTTTTGAGATCATCTTGGGAAAAGGTTGGAGTTATCACGTTAACCTGCTTTCCAACGATTAAGGTCCATCTATTTGTTAATTAGAATGGTGAATCTAACTTTTGGTGGTTTGGGCCAGGTTACCTAACAAACCCTATATGGGTGGTCAAAACTCACTTATTTCTCTAATACTCTGTTCCCTTTGCTTAAAAAACACAAACACCCCAGTATAAATGAATGTTTGGTAAGATATTTGTTTGCAAAGATGAATGACACCTTTTTACCAAAGAGGGATAAAAGAAAAGTGAACCCTTTACACCCTTACATCAGTATGTAAGGGTGTAATAATATATACTGTTCTTGATACATTTCACACATGCCACTTATGAGGAGAACGTAGTTGAAAATCAGGAGCTCTCTCAAGTTTGTGATCATTTCGTTAGATATTCATAAGCCTGATGTTTTATCTAGCAGTGAATGATAAATTGTTTGACACTTTTATCAATCATAATTTCACTGTGAGGGAATTGAACTGGAGTCAAGGTGGTGGTGCAAGTAATTTTGCTCACCAGTTCCTCACTTAAATGAAATCCAGTTGCATGACTTATTTTGTACTCTTTGTTCTTTACAGATGCTCTGTTAAAGTTGTGGAGACATGAGGGGTTGAGAAGTTTATACACGGTAACCTTGGTATGTATCTATTGACAGCTTTTTGACTCATTGATTGATTGAGTTTAAAATGAACATAATTTTGACCGTTTGCTGGACTTGTGGTGAAGTGTGCAGAGTATTGGTCCTTAGGAAAGTCACTCAAATACAAAAACTCACCAGTGTGTGTACCGCTCCATGGGTACATTAATACCTTGGGCTTAAGATAAAAACAAAATGGAATAAAAAATAGTACAAGAAAGGAAATAAAAATGTGTATGAAGGTTTGGTATATTTTGATTGCTGCATGTACACTCAGCAAACAGTGGTTTTCAAACCTCCTTAGAAAAAGGAGGGAAACAATCAAAAAGATAAATTAGAAAGGAAAGAGCAAAATCAAAAGAGAAGCATAAACATCAGTTTTGGAGTCAGCAACCATGCAAAGCTATTTCAGCCTTTTTAAGGCCTCGCCAACTTGGCATAGCTAAGATAATGCCATTGTGAGTGATTAACCTGAGTTTACAGTTTGGATGGAACTTGAAGTCCGCAAATATCATTTTATTTTTACTTGACCAGGGTTACGTTCCAGGTATTTTTGGTGTATCACATGGGGCACTGCAATTCATGGCCTATGAGCAGCCGAAGAAAGGCTATAGTCACTATTTTGGAACATCAATCAACGAGAGGCTGGTGAATACAGTCTGCACGTGTTTGTGTGGTTGTTTGTATGGTAGTTATTTTTATATAAATTGTTTGCTCTTTAATTTATGTCTTGTTAACTTTCTTTTTCTTCGTAGAGTTCAAATGAGTACCTTGTAATGGCTTCGCTGTCGAAAATTTTCGCCGCAACAGCGACACATCCTTATCAAGTGGTTAGAGCAAGACTTCAGGTTAGAATGGGAGATTCATAAGCAAATTACTAACTTTTTGACTTTCAGATTTCGTTTTACTTTTGTATGTAATTATCTCGAAATAAACTTGTAGTTTAAGTTTCAGGCTGGTTATCTTATCAGTTGGTTTGCTGGACTGCAGGTTGATGTAGCCTGTGCTCGAGCCTCGAACCAATTGAATATACCAGGAGCTGTCTCTGAGTAAGTCAGCTTTGTTAAATCGTTCAGTATTTACAGTTTCCTGCTGTCATTTATTGTTCATGAATTTTACTTTTTCTAAAGAATCAGTACACGATGGTGGAATACAAAGGCGCGTTGGATGTGATTAGTAAAACATTCAGGTAAGTTGAAACGTGATATGAGAACTTAAAGCTTTCGATACGTTATAGACTAGCTTTCTATCTCTCACGGCAGGTTCTTTTCAAAATCTTAGGCATGAAGGAGTAACATGATTTTACAAAGGATTAATTCCCAGTGTCCTCAGGTAAGGCAGAATGTTGAAGATAAATTTGATGATACAAGTAGATTTGCTAGTTAGTTTTATGTGTTAAACCGCATTGTATAATCTAGAATTGGCCAAGGGGGCTTAGTGGGCTCCCATCTTTAATTTTAGGTGGCGCTGTGTAAAGGAAAGGGTCTTAAGAGGTGGGGTACCCCTATAAGGTATTTGAACTTATTTGCACATTCCAGTCTGTGAGAAACTGGGAGGAAGAGACACGCAATAGTTACATTAAAAGGCTATAAAATTAGGAGTAGGAGTCATGTCATTGTTTTCGTCAGTTATATGTTCGAATACTGTGAAATAATTAAGATACTTATCATTATCACAAGTATTTGTTCGTTAGTGTAGGTTTTAGCGGTTTTCTATTTTTTTTTTGTTTCAAATCCAGCAAAGAAGCGCTTTAGAAGAAACCCTGAAACCGTAATCTATGTAAACACGTTCATTGTTGAATTTTACTGTGTATTATGTATTTGATTGTTGTTGTTTTTGTTTCCTTTTAGAGTAACGCCAGCATGTGCACTCACATTTGTGGTGTACGAAAACGTTATTCACTTCCTTCTGCCGGACAGATGACATCAACAGGATAAATAATGCAACCCGGCAACGGGCGACGATGGGCAATATTATAGAACGTGGTTTTATTACCAGGCTTTATTCTGCAACAGTTCCGACGGATTCATTCATGGAAAAAATATATTAGCCGTGCGAAGTTAACTGCCCAGTGCGTTTACACATTTTATCGGTAACTTCATTTACCAGTGGCACGTGAATATGATATTTTTTCAGAGCAATTTATGTACAACAATGCAAGAGGTATCCATTACTATTCTCAGGTCCTAAGGATAACAATGATTTCTCCCATTGTTCTTTTATGAAGAACCCTCCCCCCTCCCCCCCCCTTTGTCCCTTGCGGGTATGAAATTTATGTACATTCCCTTGGCACTAACAAAGTCATGAACTACAAGAGATGCCTTTTTGAAAGGTTTTTTTTTTTATTACTTAATAATTCAAACATTACTTGCGAAAATTACTTGCAATTTATCAAGAAAAATGTTCAATATTTAGTTAAGAATTATCTTATTTTCCTTTTCTGTTCCTTACGTTAAAATCTTTAAAAACTTTCTCCGTTTGTTACTGAATCGTTGCGATGTAAAGTTAAACCCAGTTTTGATTTATGGCTCTGTTTTTACTTCACTGAACCTACTCCGACCCATGGATTACACTGCCCTTAAAATTTACTGTCGTGTTTGTGTTATGAAACTCAGCTGAAAGTAGTCCGTGTAAGGTAATTGTATTTACAAAGAGATACACAGTTTTTGTTAAATAATGAGAGAATATACACGATGCCCTTCTATTTACACCACTCAAGAAGCTGAGCCACAACTTACCCACCTCATATCACTTTGCTTTAAAAAGTCCATGACGATTTTTCTATATTTTGATACGTTGTCAAGAAACTCGCCTTGCTTTGCCTCATTTGCTTTCTGTTAAACGTTTCAAAATATTAAGTCACAATTATTACGATAACTTTATGTAATTTCATAGGACATCAGATTTTGACTGTCATCACTTTTTTCTCTACGCCTATAACGTAAGATTGCGCCTGTTTTTATTCCACTAACCTACGCTAAAGTAATCATGGTTTATAATTACAGGAATTGAAGGATGAAAAAAAAAACATAAATAAAAGGCTCGAAAATAAGCTTGAGAGTTTGTCTTACAGATTTTGCTAGAAGATTACTTTGAAGATCCTTCGGGCAACTCTCTGCGATGACAGGCGATGTCTAATGAGAATTATCATTCTAATGAATTAAATACGTGTTTGCCACTAAAGTAAGGTTGAATACGTCACATATCAAAACCATATACATACGTACCTACGGAGCGATTTGAGAGTCCTCTTGCTAAGCGAAATATATTTGCTTCACATTCAGTCTGTACCACAGAAGCGCGAGGGACAGAAAGGTATGTAAAGTGTGTAGATGAAGTAGGATTCACAGTTTTTTACAAAAATATCTTTATAATATCTGCAACCAGAAGAACGATCACTGAAGCAGACCTTCCTGTGAACTATACCACCTTCCACTGTAGGATGAGCACCATGCAACCAGCCTGACCAGTCTGTACCACATCTGAATGCTGGCACACGCGTTGTTGGCATTTTTGTTCCTGCATCTCCCACAAAACGATACCATCCCGTGGGAAGTAACTTGTCACACAAAGATGGTTCGTCTATCGGCGTAACGTAACTGCTTTTTCTATTGGCATCACTCAGGTTTTGATAATTATAACAGGGGTCGGCTAGTAAATGAAATAAACATTACAAAAAGGTTGTAGAAACAAAGATAACATTTCAAGTCAATCAGTTCGACAACAACTAGATAGGACTAATGTTTTACAAGAACAACTATGCGTTAAGTAAAATTTAAAGAAGAATTTGGATTGGACAGTGATGATGCAAATAGGAACTAAAATGAAATGATAGCATTATATAGAGTTATGTGAACTCTTGCTTTAATCGCCCATCAAAGCCTGTAGTTCTTTGTACCTCAACTTGAAGCTACCAAACGCGTTTAAGACATTTTTGATCTCCGGTTCCCAAACAACGACACCAGCCTAGAGGTATTTGGTAGTAACACAATTAAGTCCCAGGAGTGTGCAATGACTCTCTGTCTATTAGCACCATCCAATTATTTATAATTATAACGCGAATGAATGAGTTTCCAGTAATCGGATCCTTGCGTTTGCACAAAGATTTCCTAAGCAATTACTTTAATGCATCGCGATATTATTCAATGCCCAATCACACCATTACGATCTCCTGGTGCTTCAAGGTATCGTTGTAGCGCTCTTTTGTATTACCAAGCCAAGAAAAAAACTAGAAGCTATAAGTAGACTTAAGACACGTAAACAAAGCTGAAAAGGCTAATATGTCTAAATTTCGAGACCAGAACACGATGTCAATTTCACAATAAACCGTGCGCATGGTGAAAAGTCAATCGGCTCATTTTACTTCATATTTCATGGTTGTTCAAACAAAACTTACGCTTCCCTTGAATCAACATTACCCACTCCAATTCTGATAAAGCAGCGGCAAAAAAGCGATGATCTCTCTTCGTAATCGCTTCTTTGGACCTCGAAACAGCCTTTCGCCATACATTTATTTCTAGAGAGATGTAATGTTTGCCCCGTGGCGCTCCCAGAAATCTTTGCGAAAACACAAGGATCCGATTACTGGCAACTCATTCATCGGTTTGCATAAGTCAAATAAGGATCATAGCTGCTATTATTATTATTAGGGAATCTTTAAAGCTCAGGGATTCTTGAAGGTTTTTTTAGTTCCACGGAGAGTTTCATGTCTGCATCACGTAAAAGTTCGTGTAAGGTTGTTAAATAATTTAAAACATAATCAAAAAATGATTCGTTTTTGTGCTTAAGGTAGCATAAAATTATGCCTCCTCGATGTGAATTTCGGATAAAAGTCAACACTGAGGAATTTACTGCTACTTTCAACGCGGGAAACAAAATAAAAATTTCATCGCCTTCATGAAAAACCGCTGCTTATATTACGAGTTATGAGTGAACGCGGCTGAATGGTGCGGCGCTGGAGTCAATTATGTCATTTCGGAAAGAGATAAAATTCGCCTGTGCAGTTTTGTTCATTTCCAGCATATCCAGGGTGACATTCATATACATGTGATCCAAGGGTGTTCATGCATGTAGCATTCACGTGGTAGGAATGATTTCCTTCACACTCGTTAAAAGAGTGGTTTAGCAAGAGGACGGAAACGTCATTTCAAAACGGCGCGCACAGCAAAAATGCCGAGAAAAAACTGGGTCGAGAAGACCGTCGCGTTGTGTTGAAAAGTGACTTAGCAGTCGTTTCAACGAACCGTCCACGTTATATTTTTTCTTGAATATCCTAACCTTGGCTCTTTCGGATCATTATCAGCCTTGAATTTTCGGTTTCATAGACCACTTGAAGGACAACGAAATTATCCTCTTTGAGAGTGTAACGACAAGCACAAACCGAGGAGAGTTTACTACAAGTGAGTTGTTAATATGAATCCACATGGGCGATGAAACTTTGAAATTATTTCATTTCAGTTAAGTCTCGAGTCTGCAGATTCATCTATCAAATTTTGAAGCCCACTAAATATATATTTTTTCTATGATTTGTATCGCTGTCATTTCGTTTCGTGCTTTTAGATTTCAGCACTACTCGTTTTTCTTCATAATTTTGTAAAGTATAATTTGGAATTGAAATCGTCGCCGTTTTTTCCCTTGTTTACTGAATATTCTTCTCAATCATGACAGTACACCTCTTTTAAGCAGGAGTCATGGCGAAACATGTAGAGATCAAGCGACCCAACGATGGAGTTGTTTACAATGAGTTCCCGTTTAACCATGAACGAATGAAATGCACTCAAACTAGTCACCAACGAAACGGTTAGACTGAGGAATCAGACTTCGTTCCTGTTTTATTTTGTTTTTTTTTTTTAATTTAATTTTTCACCGGCGCTGATCAAAACTAAAGACATAAAAAAGTGCAGCCCGAGCTATTCTCAAATTTTTTTTATCTCTGACTTCAATTCGCAGAACAATTAATCACGGTTAAAACGACAATGACAACAAATAACACTGAATAATACAGCAGGTAACCTTCGTGTTGTTTCATTTTGATAAACTTCAACATGAAGCAAGTTTAATTTATTGATGAATTAATTCACGATAAAATTAACAGCACCCGTTCTTAGAGTTTTCATATATGGTTTAAGAAATGTATCAAAGAAAAGCCCCAACGTTGCTTAAAGCCACGCTGAATTACAAAAGGTAACTAAGCCCTAAAATCTTAGATCGCTTGCTAACGATCGTCTTTAGTACTGGTAGGACAATAGTTCCTGCTAAAATTGCTTTATTTAATGCTATGGATCCACAGATACAGCATGCAGGTCATTATTGGTCTGTTATTCACTCACTCGATTGTAGATAGCAATTGCTTAAATGTACCTACAGTGTTTTTAGGCGAAAACGAATTAAACATTGTAACTCGCATGTCTTTAACTACTTTAAGGCTTTGAGACTAAAACAGTGATATTGGAAATCTAGATAAACTCATCAGGATCCAAATTTGAGCTCCTTCTTTTTCAGACAATGCATTAAAGGACAGCTCTAGGCAGACTTAGGGCACAACCGGTATCGTTTACATATGAGAAACTAATAATATGGCCACCTCAGCAGCTTCAGATAATATTCGAGCAGGAATATTCTAAATATTATAGCAAAGAGATTAAATTCACCTGTGCAGCTTTGACCATTTCCATTAAATCCAGGGTGGCATTCACAAAGATAGGATCCGTTGGTGTTCGTGCAGATAGCATTCACGTGACAAGAGTGATTTCCTTTACATTCGTCAATATCTGAGGAAACCACATATATATTTGCACTTCATCATGTTTGTCACTTTAAAATGAGCGGACTCTCAGTCGAGTGATTACTTTGATAATCATACATAATAAAACAATTTTTTCTCTTTTGTGTTCCACGAATTAGATATTTGAAACGTATATTTTATCACGAGTATTTCAGTTTATCAAGCTATCGGCTCTGAAACAACTGGCTTGTTCCTGCTGCTCCCCACAAAACGTACCATCCCTTGGGGATAGGTCGTCACAAAACACTGGACCAAATTTCGGTGTAGAGTAACTACTCTTAATATTGGCATCACCCAGGTTTTGATAATTATAGCAGGTAATTTAGTGTTAACAACCGAGTTGAAAACGTAAATTTGCCACCGTAAAGGGTAAAAAAGCTGACGTTTCGAGCGTTATCCCTTCCTCAATCACTGATAGCATTACAAAGAGTCATGTTTCCTTTTGCTTTAATCGCCCATTTAAGTCTGAGTTGTATGTACCTCTACTGTATGCTACCAAATGCGTTTAAGACATTTTTGATTCTCAGCTCCCGCGCAACGATGCCAGCCCCGAGGTATTTGGTAGTAACACAATTATTTCCCAGGAGTGTGTAATTTCTCTCTGCCTCCTTAAGGTTTCCTTTCGTTCTATGAAAAGGATCAGATAAGGTCGTACAATCCCTTCAGGACTCAACCTGCCATTTCTTTTAGATTTTTTTCCTTCCCCATTATTTTTCTCACCTTATCAACTGAGTTGATAATGCAAATTGGCCTCTGTAAAGAGTTTCAAAGGTGACGTTTCGAGCATTCGCTGTAACACTCTTTACGGAGGCAAATTTACCTCGTCAACTCAATTGATAATACTAAATTACCCTGTTGCACTCTCCCACCGACGCAGCACCGCAGTTCTTGTAGAACCTTTATTTATCGCTCTTTCTCTCAGTTTACTGGCGATATAATCCACGCTGGACTTTGTGAGAACGAGCTGGAGGCGATTGATCTACTTTTTTTTCGAATGGTTTCCCAACATCTGAAGACGTTTTCTACGCTGGTAAACCGATAGAAAGTGCGGTCTGTTACTTTAATAACATATATAAACTTCAATTTTCCACAGGTTTACCGGTGCAATCAACGATTGTTTTTTAACCAATCAGGGCGCTCGTAGTATCTTGACTATTTTATAAAACTTGATGATAATAATTTTCAACTTTTTCGCTCAAATGTATCTTGAGTGTCAACGAAAACGTAGCGTCTTGGAAAATCATTTACATATCCATCCTTTTCACAGGGTTCAGAGCCAAACGAGCGATTTCATTTTCATGCTCCTGTAAGTCATTGTGATAAGTTTAATTTTAAAGCAGAACAACGCATCAGTCACCAAAATTGTTCATTTAAGAGTCAGGAACATTATCTAAGAGGTTCTTAACACGAGAAATGGCTGCTTAAATCAAAACCAGTTATAAGTAATAAATTGTCTAGTTGTCTTGCAACGCGGCTAAATGATGCGGCGCTGTAGCCGGAAGGCATATAGGACTATTAAAAATATTGTAGTGAAGAAATTAAATTCACCTGCGCAGTTTTGTCCATTTCCAGTATATCCAGCATGACATTGACATACATGTGATCCAAGGGTGTTCTTGCATGTAGCATTCAAGTGACACGAGTGATTTCCTTTGCACTCGTTAATATCTGTAAAATCATAAACATGACTTTAAAAAAAAAAAAAATATATGTAATTGTAAAAAAGTCTCCGATCATGACGTAAGAAACCCTAGTTGTTGTCTTGTGGTTCTAGACGCAAACACTTCACATTACCACTCACCAGATTTTTTATCTCGGTCCCCCCAAGTTCAAATCCGTTGTTCTGTCCTGTAAGCCTGTCTATCAAATCTCCCTTTACCAGTGGAGATTTTTTACCTTGCACTGAATGTTTACTTAACCACCTAACTCCCTTTAATGACCAAGAAAGAAATTCTCCTTACCAAATCATTACAATATCGAACAGAAAAGTGACGAGAATAAGGAAAAATATCAGCTCGAGGATTATCAGTTGATTCAATACCAAATTCTTAGAACTGACATCATAAGAATTATATGGTAGACAGTAAGGAGAATTACTAATGAGATCTTAGGAGTGAAAGGGTCAATACAAGGTATGCTGATAAAACAAGTCTCGCAAATGTGATAGTGCTTTTCTTTCTGATGGAAATGGTTTCAAAAGAAATGCATCAAGTACCTGTGCAGTCGCTTCCATTTCCAGTATATCCTGGGTGACAAGTACAGACATACGATCCTTTGGTGTTCATGCATGTAGCATTTACGTGACAAGAGTGATTTCCTTTACACTCGTTAATATCTGTAAAATGATAACATAAAAAAGAATAAATTTTAAAATATGCAATTGGGAAGAAGTTGCCGAGCATAAGCTTAGAAACCTTAGTCTTGTTTTCTTGGGTCCTAGACGCAAGCACTTCACAAAACAGCTTACCAAATTTTGATGTAGCTTAACTGCTCTTTCTATTAGCGTCACCCAGGTTTTGATGAATTTGGGTTAGACAATGATGATGCACAAAGGAACTAAAATGAAATGATAGCTTTATGAAGAATTACATTTCCTCTTGCTTTAATCGCCCATCAAAGCCTGAGTTGTTTTTACCGGCTCAACTGGATACTACCAAATGCATTTAAGACATTTTTGATCCTCAGCTTCCACACAGAGATACCAGCCCAGAAGTATTCGCTAGTACCCAATTATTTCCCAGGAGTGTGTAATAACTCTCTGCCTACTAGCATCATCCAATTATTTGTAATCAAAAGGCCAATTGGCTTGCGTAAGTCAAATAAGTTTGATTGATCATAACTGCTCTTTTTATGAAGGAATCTTGGAGAGATTCTTTTAGGGTTTTTAAGATCCACGGAGAGTCATGTCTGCATCACATTAAAGTTTGTGTAAGGTTTTTAAATCATTTAAAACATCAAAAGTTGGTAATTTAGTGTCCACAACTGGGTTGAAAACGTAGATTGGCCACCGTAAAGAGTAAAAAGGCTGATTAGCTTTTTTTACTCTTTACGGTGGCCAATTTATATTTTGAACTCAGTTGTTAACTAAATTATCTGCTATACTCTCCCACCGACGCAGCACCAAAGTTTCTTTAGAAACTTGCCCCCTATAACAATTAATTTTGACCAATCGGGACGCTTGTAGTATCTTGACTATTTTATAAAACTTGATGATAATAATTTTCAACTTTTTTCTCTCAAATATATCAACGAAAACGTAACGCCATGGAAAGTCACGTACATATCTATCATGTGCACAGGGTTCAGAGCCAAACGAGCGATTTTATTTTCATTCCTTTGTCAATAACTTTTTTAAGGTCTATTTAAAAGCAGAATAACAGTGCATCAGTCACCAAAATTGTTCATTTAAAAGTCAGGGACATTACCTAAGAGGTTCTTAACATGAGAAACGGCTGCCTAAATCATAACGAGTTATGAGTAATAAATTATATAATTGTCTTGCATCGTGGCTGAATGGTGCGGCGCCGTAGTTAAACGTGTCATGCAGGCCTATTGTAAATATTGTAACGAAGAAATTAAATTCACCTGTGCAGTTTCGTCCATTTCCAGTATATCCAGGCTGACATTCACATATATGTGATCCAAGGGTGTTATTGCACTTAGCATTCACGTGACAGGAGTGATTTCCTTTACACTCGTCAATATCTGAGAAAGCGTAAATGTGTTTTGCACTTTGTTTTTGCCACCTAATGATTTGCAACTACTTTAATCATTTCAAATATTAACAAAAACCTTTCTCTTTTTTTTGTCTTTAATGAACTAGATTTTTTGAAACGTGGAATCTAGATATTATATTCTCTTCTCCAACGGTTTTTTTTACATCTCCTAACATGATGGCTATGAAACAAACCGGATGTAGATCATGGCAACTCCGTGCTTAAACATGTATGGGTAATGCTGCTTAAAAAAAAAAAAGAAAAATTACTTAATAAGTTACTTTGTTTAATGCTAAGGATCCACTGATATAGCATGCAAGCTATTATTATTCTATTATTCACTCACACGATTGTAGATAGCTCAAATGTACCTTCAGTGTTTTTTGGACGAGAAAAAAATTAAACATTGTACCTCGGCATGTCTGTAACTATTTTACCTGAGCACGAGTGACCATCCCCAGTAAATCCGTCTTTGCAGGTGCAATTATAAGACCCAACAGTATTGGAGCAGTTTGCATTTTCGTCACAAGTAACGTTATTGCTGCCTTTGCATTCATCGATGTCTATTTGGAAATTAATCGAAGAAATTTCTGAGACATAGTGAAAACATTTCACAAAAAGGCAAGGACAAAGGCATACCAAACACTGTGTAAATTCTGTTCTTGGTATACTGACTTACCTTCCAAAATCATGTCGCAGTTAACCAACTCTGAACTCCCGACATTAGCTGGATCCAACCAATACTTTTTACTGATGCTGTCTTTACCTTCACTTAATTTTATTTCTTGGCACGATAACGCTGGTAGTCCGGGAATAGACCCTAAGGGGGCTATGATGTAGACACGACGTCATTAATATATAGTTTAAGGGTAATAGAAGTTTCAATACAGATTAGAGTTGAAAATATATTTGTCCGGGCAAGATAAATACAGAATAATAATAATGAAGATCCGTGAATTTTTAGCTGATATTAGTGTATTTAATAATAAAGCAATCAGACACTTGCTCTCAGAATGTGGCAGGTTTTTACTAAGAACTCATTGAGAAAGATTTGTATTTAAAAAAAACTAAACCGGATACATACTTCTACCACTAATGCGTCCCATGTAAAAGCGTAAATCATCTGGCTGGAAATTCTCGGGCCTTGCTTCCTTGGTTCGGGAGTTCAATTCACAGGACTTTTCGCCAATTACATAGTTGTAGCTTTGACATATCGTTTCCCTCTCGCAGGTGATATCGCACACATGAGGAGCTGATACTGGGACCTTTTTAAAGACGAATCCTTTTAGAGCCATTCCAGGTACGCTAACTTTTGTCTTGCACGGAGTTTTAGCAATAGCGAGGTTCATGAGATACAAAGAGGCCATTAGGACGAGGAAGCTTGAATTCCACGCCATTGCCACCGATGCTGAAATTGAAAATTGTATATTATTTAGGAATATGCTTTGAACGTTTTTTCTGGCCCATAAATTTAACGCAAACCAAACCAAACAAGTAAACAAACAAAAATGCACTAAAAAATAGACGGAGGGAGAAACAAACGGAAGAGAAATGAAGGAATCCATTCTGAATCGGCTGCAAGTCAACAACACGTCTACCGCATGTTTTACTGACTGAGTCGCTACACCTTTGTTCACCGCTTCTTCGATATCTGTAACTATTACATCTCTTGCAGTTATTTGGGAATTGTAAATGTTGTTTCTTGGACAGAATCGAAGCTGAGATGTTGATCGGCTTCGCGTCTAACAGACGAAAATGAAACGAGTGAGGCAAGCATCCAAATATTTGTTTAAATGCCTTGATCCATGTTGTTATGAGTTGCGACATTTTGGCGATACAAAACATTTCGTGACCATTCGATTTGCGGGAGAGAATATTCGAGTTATGGCAATTTGATAGGAGAACAAAGGTTAAATAAGACTCGGTTTTTCCTTACCTTACTGTGCTTGCAATTTTCCGTCACCCTTGTTAAACAACGAGGCAGAACTTTCGCGCTAAAGATTCGGTTTGAACAAAATGATTCGATTGCTCCTCCATATCAGTTTAAGAGGGAAGATATGAGGTTGAACTTGCATTGTGAATTCGTCTATTGAATTGAGGCTTTTTAATTGAAAAAGGCCAGTTGAATTGCGGAAAATCTTTGGTCTCGATTTTATTTATAACGTTATACACGGAAGAACTGTTTACATGATTTATGTACGGTTTACACGAATCTCCAATTTTTTCTTGAACGGTAAAAGAATTGCCTTGTAGGTTGTGCTGGTAAAAAATGAGTACTCGCTTCTTTGAATTCTTTGCGCTTGCAATTTTTTTCTTTAATGTATCAACACACAGATGAAGCACGTTCAATTTTAACGTTTTATTAGCATAGCCGAAACAACATTGTTTCTCATCTTAATGAAAACAGAGAATTTCACTTACCCGGAAAAGGAAGAGCGAATGATAAACACTCAATTATTCCTTAGAGCCCCACACTCACTAACGTCAGCGAGACTTGGTTATCAACTCTCAGAAAGTTTTAAGCCTAAAAGATATATAATTCACCTCTGCTCAAAAACGAGTGCCCTCAAACATTTCAGAATGATGTGTAGACATACTTAGGAAAAGCCCTGCAGAAATTACATCCGCGCTTTGCTTCAAATTGTTGCCAGGTACCTTGTTTACTCAATGCACAGCCTTTATGCATTGAAACTTGAGTCCGAGATAATAACACCTGTGTGACTTGAAAATAATAGGTTGAGAGAAAAGTTGTTTCGAATCATTTATCCAAAATGAACCTCATGATTCCGTTCTTGCCGAAACTTATATGAACGCTATCAATTCTTTGTTTTAATTGTTTATGTTAGTCTTAGAGACCACTTCAGCCCTCTATATAAAAAGAAAAAAGTAAGTTCCCGCACGACATTTGCTACAATTTTTTTTTCCGTTTAATCTTTTCCAAGGCACTGCAAAACCTCAAAACCGTCTAGGGGAAGTAGAAACAAAGTAGAATTCGACCACCATCGTGTTAAACCAAATACACAGGCTTTCTATGGATGGCATTCATAGGTGATATCTGAAAACTAAATCCTAAAAGGTGGCCGTTGTAAGTTTTCCCTCAAATATTTACCAAACCCTATTTTGGGATATAGGTCAAACTTATTCCACGTAACTCTAGAGCTGATAAATATACGAAATGCGGTCCTCAACCACTTGATTGCTACCGAGATAAAAATGCTGTCTTTCATGAAGGTATTATGACTATGATTACGATACCAACCGTTTGTTTTAAGCCAAAGTCCAATAATTAACATTGAAGAAGAACTTCATGTTTTCTGTTTTCGCTCCTCTCAAGTATTGAATTCAACAAGATTCGGGCCGGAAGTTAAAATATTATAATCGTTCTGTTTGCGATGTTTGCTAACCAATGGCGAGGATATTTGTTTCATTAATTTTAAATGAAAACTAATCGGTACAAATTATTAGCTTTTAGGCACGAATTAAGGTTTGGTTAATTTTTAACTACAAACATACGAAAGCTACTTTCAAATCAGCTCTTAGGAGTATTTTCATAACACATCCCTGTCATCTTTTCATTATCCATTGTCTAACTAAAGAAACCCATCCATAAGCTAAGGAAAACATAATTAACCTTGAGGAACGTCAAATTGTCCGTTCCAAGCAGAGCAAATATTGATGATGTGGGATGCAGTTAATTTGTTCATAGTAAACAAGATTCCACTATTCGAGAACGACATAAAAACTTGAGTGCAGAGATGAAGCTACAATTCGAATTTAAGTTTAGGATCAGGCCAAGTAAATTGTAGAAATATTTAACGGAAATGCAAACAAACTCTCGAAATTCCAGAAAAATTTGAACAATTTATTACTCAACCTGACACTAACAATTGGGTGACTGTGAAGTTCATTTAAGTCAATGACGCTGCAAACGTGACAGGTTTTTTTTTTTGTCACCTAACGTGTGTCAGTTCAAGTTCTTTTTATCTTAACTAACGTTACTTAAATTTATGATGTAAGCTGCTCCCAAATTGCAGCACTGAAGAATTTCTCGCGTGTATTCCAACCCTTTCGTCACCACAATATGATATTGTATTTATCGTATATGTTGTTTTAAAATGAGAGACTTGACAGGTCCTAAAAGCTATTAATGACCATCATTTGAATACAAAACTTTTATACTAATAGAGGGTCGCTCTTTCTGGGTTGCTTGTTTTTTTTTTCTTTTATGCGGGGTTGCTCACTCTTTTTAACATCGTTTTAATGTGACATGCGACCGAACTATAGAAGAGAACTTTTAAACAAAATTTTATTTGAGATGATCAAATTGAGTTAGAACTGTGTGATCCTAATATCCTCTAGTCCTAAGGAATCTTTTAACCGAATTTGAATTTTAGACCATGAACAGGTGGTCTAAATTCTGAAATTTCAAACCTCTCAGTCAAACGTTGGCGCTTTTCCACGGAAGAGCTTTTCTTTGCAATATTTACATTCTTGTTTTGTTTCTAATGCTAAGAACTACAGAAATTCGCAAAAAAAGTAATAAAAGAATTGTGAAACTATTTCGAAAAAAGCGTCTGAGACATGGTGTTTGTCTCAGTCAAGAGACTCGAAGTTTGAAGCGTACTCATTTAGCGTCACTCTCAGGGTCCTGTTCACAGTTCGAGATGTTATCGGATGTTAGTTCACTTGATGCCCGATAGCCTTTCCATATTCGTCCTCGTGCGCTGATTAATTCTAAACAAATCGATAATCTTATCATTGGCGAGTAACTGATTGTTTTGCGTTATCTTTGAGATTATATTGGGGAAAGTTTTGGTGGTTTGCGCCAGGTTACCTAAGTGTAATAGTCACTTTTTTTTCACTCATTAACATTATTGGAGATGTCAGGTGTCCTGGATTTTGATAGAAGGTAATGACCTCTCATCCTAGAGCAAAGTCACTCTCATTTCACCAGTAAGGCCCAAAGTAAAGCTGTAAAGCTCAAGACAATCTCTGGGTCTGGAATGCCAACTGATTGGCAATTCAACAAAGAAGCGGTAGAAAAAGTAATCGGTATTTTAAGGTATTTTCATCTCGTTGGTTTGGCAGAGGCGAAAGAAATTCCATATGTTTGACTGGACAGAACTCGGCAGTGCTCCATCTGATGTGTTAGTGTAAGTTTTTGCGGTTTCTTTTTTTTCTTTTTTTTTTTTTTTTCGAATTTCGGAAATCCAGCCCAGGAGCGCTATAGAAGATATCCAGAAACTGCAATCTCTGTGAATACGTTAATTGCTGGTTTTACTGTATTTTTTCGTTTGATTGTTTGTTTTTTTTTTAGAGTAACGCCGGCATGTACACTCACGATTGTGTTGTACTTTATTCACTTCCTTCGGGAACAGATGACATCGATGGGAAAACAACGCAATCCAGCAATGGAAGACGATGGGCAAAATTTCAGCACGTGGTTTTATTAGGCGGCTTTATTCAGCAACAGTTCCGACTGATTCCATTTATGGAAAAAAAAAATTTGTTAAGGTGCAAAGTTGACCGCTCAGTGCGTTTACATATTTTATTGGTAACTCTTCATTCACCAGCGTCTTGTGAAGATGGGTTTTTCTCAAAGTATTTTATGTACAGTAACGCAGGAGGTATCCATTACTATTCTTAGCCCCTATAGATAATAATAATTTATCCCTTTGTTCTTTTATGGAGAACATTCCCCTTACTATTTATTTAATAATAATTGACAATTGAAGTCTTACATTATTTGTGAAAACTTCTTGCAATTTAACCAAGAAAGATGTACAATATTTAGTTAGTTGTAAAAAAAAAAAAATGTACTTTACTTTCCTTTTTCTGATCCTTACGTTACGATATTTATTAATAACTTTCTCCATTTGTTACTGAATCGTTGTGATGTAACGTTAAAACCAGTTTTGATTGATTGCTCTGTTTTTTACTTCATTGGGTTCTTTTTTCATGCATTTGTCCGAACATTTCTTTGTTGTTGTTGTCATTTTTCCCTGGTTACTGATATTAAGTCCACTAAAAAAAATGGAGAAAGCTACTCTTTCGCGATTGCTATCAAGTGAATTTGAAGATTCTTTTACATATCCTTTCATCAAATGAGTGGTATCGAGAACCTACTCTGGCCCGTGGACTACACTGCCCTAAAAATGTCCGTGTAAGTTAAATGTATTTACAAAGAGATACACAGTTTTTGTTAAATGATGAGATTACATATGCGATGCCTTTCTATTTATACCATTCAAGAAGCTGAGTCACAAAGTGAACCAGTTCATGTCACTTTCCTATGAAAAGAGCACCAATGGATTTTGGATAGTTTGATATGTTGTTAATAAACTCGCCTTGTTTTGCCTCATTCGCTTTGTGTTGAGGTCTCTTCTTATGAATTAGAGACAAATGAACATCAAATGATTCGAAGACTACTCTTAGAAAAGAAATATCATATCTGCCTTGAAATATCAGGCAGTGGCCTTTGTGGGTTTCTTTCCTGCGCTTATATAGGATCCTTTGAATATTTTTGCGGAATAAAAAAAGGAAAATTTCACAGTGAGAAACTGTGATTTTGATTTCAAATCTAACATTTCTGTGAAAAAATTGTTGGTGATGTACTTGAACAGTGTACAAGGTTGTTTCGTTCTGTCAGTTTTATACCAAATTGCACTGGAAACGCGTGATTACCTTTACAAAATTATTTTAACAAATTTCGTCTTGAGTGAATGAAGTACCCATGCTCTTAGTTAAATAAGCTGTATAGGGACACTTTACAGCCATTGCTTAAAGATCTTTAACTTGGATTCAAAATAAGTGTAAGATGTAAGCGACCATTAATTTCAAATGAACTCTGGTCGAATCGGACACATTTAGCACACGGTTACGCAGGCTAAACCATTGAATTCTACTTACTGTGTGTCTGGAAATTGGTTCAACGTTTCAAAATACTGAGTCACTATTATTACATTAACTTTATGTAATTTCATTAGACATCAGATTTTGAATGTCGTCACTTTTTTTTCTACGCCTATAACGTAAGATCGCGCATGTTTGTATTCTTCTGACCTACGCTAAAATAATTATGGTTTATAATTACAGCAATTGAGGGATGAAAAAAAACAAAAAAAAAAAACATAAATAAAAGGCTCGAAAACCATCAGCTTGAGATTTTGTGTCATACAGATTTCACCTGAAGATTAATAATAATGGTTACGATAGAGAGGAAAGGTTGAATACGTCACATGTTAAAAACCTTATACACATGTACCTGCGGTTAGATTTGTGAAACCTCTTACTACGCCAAGTATATTTGCTTCACATTCAGTTCGTGCCACAGTAGCGTGAGGCACAGTTAGTTTCGTGTTGAAGGTGGTAGATAAAGTAGGATCCACAGTTTTTTACAGAAGTTTTGGAACTGAATTTGCAACCAGCAGAGCGATCGCTAAAGCAGACCTTCCGGAGAACTTCACCCTCTTCCATTGTAGGTTGAGCACCATCCAACCAGTCTGACCAGTCGTTACCACATCTGTAGGGTGGCACACGTGTTGTTGGCATTTTTGTTCCTGCATCTCCCACAAAACGATACCATCCCGTGGGGAATACGGTGTCACACAACGATTGTCCATGTGGTGTAGCGTAACTGCTCTTTCTATTGGCATCACTCAGGATTTGATAATTATAACAGGGGTCGGCTAGTAAATGAAATAAACATTACAAAAATGTTGTGACAAAGATAAGATTTTTTGTTGACATTCTTCAAGTCAATCAGTTCGACAACAACTAGATAGGACTAACGTTTTACAAGAACAACTATGTTTTAAGTAAAATTTAAAGAAGAATTTGGATTGGACAATGATGATGCAAATAGGAACTAAAATGATATGATAGCAATATAAAGAGTTATGTTAAGTCTTGCTTTAATCGTCTGTCAAAGCCTGTAGTTGTTTGTACCTCAACTGGATTCTACCAAATGCGTTTAAGAAATTTTTGATCCTCAGTTCTCACACAACAATACCAGCTCAGAGGTGTTTGGTAGTAACACAACTAAGTCCCAGGAGTGTGCAATGACTCTCTGTCTATCAGCATCATCCAATTATTTATAATCCTAACGCGAATGAATGAATTGCCAGTAATCGGATCTTTAACTTTGTACAAAGATTTCTGGGATCGCCACGGGGCAAACATTGCAACTCGCTAGAAAGAAATGTATGGTAAAAGGTTGTTTCGATGTCCAAAAAGCCCTATTTTTGAGAGAGCTCAACGCTTTTCACCGCAATTTTATCATAAAATGGATTAAGATAATGTTGATACGAGGAAAGTGTAGTTTTTGTCACAATTAACACGAAATTTAAAATGTACCGATTAACTTTTCTCTTTGCATAAGGTCTAATATGAAATCGTCATGGCGTGATGGTCTCGACATATAACAGAATTAGCCATAAATCGTTAGGAAACAACTTACTAAGTCTTTTCAGTTGTATAAAATATACTAATAACATAGCGGGTAAAAAAATGAATGCTGATTGGTCATGAAGAGGGTATTTTTTCTTAATTTCCCTTGTGAATGGGGCAAAATGACTTGCTCACTATTGGTTCTCAGGTTGCCTAGCAACAGCTTATGCTATCGAGTAGTTGTTGCTAAAAATCCTCTGTAACAATGGCGTCCTTAATCTTTAATCCTTAATTTTACTCGGCCCCATGCGATTACTTATACAAATTACGACGTATGTAAATATACCTCCTCTACAGGAGAGAAGTCGTTGTCAGTGGGGATGGAAATTGTTTTTTATAGGGATGTTGCTCTTTGGAAGGATGAAATAAGCAATGAAAAACACGAGAAAATCCCTAGGTCGAGTGATAGTTTGTTTGAGAACAATCCCAAGATTTTTGTGCTGCCACTTTCTCCTCGAACTCCTTGGAGGGGAAGGACAGATAACTGAAAGTCCAGCAGGAACTTTGGGCATATATTCACTTGTACATCGCTCCTTAAGCGACCTATTTGTACCTACGCATTCTCGGAGAAGAGAGGGTTTAGTTTTGCGCCGATTATTAATGCCGTTTCGTTCTCATTTACCACAGTAAAGAAGCAGTGTAGGTGTTTAATCACTTTAATGCATTGCGGTAATATTCAATGCCCAAGCACACCATTTCAATCTCCTGCTGCTTCGAGGTAGCTGTTGTAGCGCTCTTTTGTATTACCACGTCAAGAAAAAAGCTAGAAGCTAGAAGTAGACTTAGCACGCGTAAACAAAACTGAAAAGGCTTAATTGAGTTATTTGGTTTGAGCGATTTATAGCTAATATGTTTAAATTTTGAGACCAGTACAAGATGTCAATTTCGCAATAAACCTTGCGCATGGTGAAAAGTTAATAGGTGCATTTTACCTCATATTTCATGGTTGTTCACACAAAAATCACGCTTCCCTTGTATCGACATTACCCAATCCAATTCTGATAAAAAAGCGACGAAAAGGCCATGATCTCTCTCCATAATGGTTTTTTTTGGACCTCGAACAGTCGTAATGTTTGCCCCGTGGCGATCCCAGAAATCTTTGCGAAAACACAAGGATCCGATTACTGGCAACTCATTCATTGGCTTGCATAACTCAAATAAGGATCATAGACGCTATTATTGTAAGGGAATCTTTTAAGGTTAGAGATTCTTAAATGTTTTTTAGTTCTACAGAGGGTGTCATGTCTGTATCATGTAAAAGTTCGTGTAAGGTTGTTAAACATTTAAAACACAATAAAAAAGCGATTCGTTTTTGTGCACAAAGTAGCGTAAAATTATGTCTCCTCGATGTGAATTCCGGGTGAAAGTCAACTTTTTCGATGTGAATTTCGGAAGTCAACTCTAAGCAATTTACTGCTACATTCAACGTGGGAAACAAAATACAAATTACATCGCCTTCAAAAACCAAACTAACCTTCACAGTCAAAACCATCTCCAATAAACGTAGGATTGCAAGAACAGTTGTATGAGCCCTGGGTATTAGCGCAAGATGCATTCGAATGGCATTTGTCCATTTTAACGGGATGGGCCTCGCTGCATTCGTCAACGTCTGAGAGAACGTACATGGTAAAAAAAAATTGTTGAAGACTTGGTCAGATAAGGTCCGAGAAAAATATACAATCCCTTCAGGAGTCAACATCTCATTTCTATAAAAAAAATTTTTCTTTTCCCTTTTCCCTTTTTTATTAATTTTTGCATTTGCCACAAATCGTATTAGTGAGATTATTTGGTTTAATTAACTGAGGTAATAATGTAAAATGACCACCGTAATAGTTACGAAGCTGTCGTTTTGAGCGTTAGCTTTAAAACTCTTTACGGTGGCCAAAATACGTTATCAACTCGGTTGATAATACTTGATCACCCTGTTATACTCTCCCACCGACGCAGCATCACAGTTTCTTTAGAGACTTACCTCATTTATTCATCGCTCTTTCTATCAGTTTACTTTTTCGAATAGTTTCCCAACATCTGGAGACGTTTACTATGTTGGTAAACTGATAGAAAGTGGAGTCTGTTACTTTAATAACACAAACTTCAATTTTCCATCGATTTATCGGCGCCATCAGAGGGTTGTTTTTTGACCAATCAGGACGCTCGTAGTATCTTGACTATTTTATAAAACTCGATGATAATGATTTTTAACTTTTTCATTCAAATATATCTTAAGCGTCAACGAAAACGTAGCACCATGGAAAATCAATATCCATCCTGTGCACAGGGTTCAGAGCCAAACGAGCAATTCATTTTCATACTTCTTTCAATCATTGTGATAAGGTTAATTTTAGAGGAGAATAGCAATGCATCGTCACCAAAATTGTTCATTTAAAAGTCAGGGACATTACGTAAGAGGTTCGTAACATGAAAAAACGGCTTCTTAAATCCTAACGAGTCATGAGTAATAAATTATCTAATTGTCTCGCAACGCGGCCGAATGGTGCGGCGCTGTAGTCAAACGTGTCATGCAGGACTATTATAAATATTGTAACGAAGAAATTAAATTCAGCTGTGCAGGTTTGTCCATTCCCAGAATATCCAGGCTGACATTCACATACGTGTGATCCAAGGGTATTATTGCACTTAGCATTCAAGTGATTTCCTTTACACTTGTCAATATCTAAGAAACCGTAGATGCATTTGTAGTTTATTTTTGTCACCTAACGATTTGTAATTACTTGAATCATTTCAAATAATAAGCAATAGCTTTCAATTTTTCGTCTTTAACGTGTAATCTAGATATTATATTCTCTTCTCCAATGTTTTTTCTTTTACATCTCCTAACATGATGTAGATCATGGCAACTCCGTGCATAAACATGTATGGGTAATGCTGCTTAAAAAGAAAAACTTACCACTAGTGTGACAATAGTTCCTGCTAAAATTGCTTTGTTTAATGCTAAGGCTTCTCTGATATAGCATGCAAGTTATTATCGGTCTATTATTCACTTAATTACTCGATTGTAGATAGCTCAAATGTACAGAGCTTTTAGGCGAAAAAGAATTAAATATTGTACCTCGGCATGTCTGTAACTATTTTACCTGAGCACAAGTGTCCATCCCCAGTAAATCTCACGTGCAATTATAAAACCCAACAGTATTGGAGCAGTCTGCATTTTGGTCACAAATGTTATTACTGCCTTTGCATTCATCAATGTCTAATTGGAAAGTAATCGATTAAATCACTGAGACGGGGAGAAAACATTTCACAAAAGGCCAGGGCAGAGGCAGACCAAACACTGTGTAAATTCTGTTCTTGGTATACTGACTTACCATCCAAAATCATGTCGCAGTAAACCAACTTTGAACTTCCGGCATTAGCTGGATCCAACCAATACCTTTTACTGATGCTGTCTTTACCTTCACTTAATTTTATCTCCTGGCACGATAACGCTGGTAATTCAGGAATAGATCCCAAGGCGGCTATGATGTAGACATGACTTCATTAATATATAGTTTAAGGTTAATAGAAGTTTCAAAACAGATAAGGTTGAAAATATATTTGTTCGGGCAAGGTAAACACGGAATTATAATAATAATAAGGATCTGTGAATTTTAGCTGATATTAACGTATTAAATAACAATGCAATCAGACATTTGCTCTCGGAAAGTGGCAGGTTTTTACTAAGAACTCATTGAGAAAGATTTGTATTTAAAATTAACTAAACCGGATACATACTTCTACCACTAATGCGTCCCATGTAAAAGCGTAAATCATCTGGCTGGAAATTCTCGGGCCTTGCTTCCTTGGTTCGGGTGTTTAATTCACAGTACTTTTCCCCAATTACGTAATTGTAGCTTTGACATATCGTTTCTCTCTCGCAGGTGATATCGCACACATGAGGAGCTGTTACTGGGACCTTTTTAAAGACGAAGCCTTTGAGAGCCATTCCAGGTACGTTAACTTCTGTCTTGCACGGATTCTTAGCAATAGCGAGGTTCATGAGATACAAACAGGCCAATAGGATGAGGAAGCTTGAATTCCACGCCATCGTCACCAATGCTGAAATTGGAAAGTGTATATTATTTAGGAATATGCTTTGAACGTTTTTTTCTGGCCCATGGATTTAACGCAAACCAAACCAAACAAGTAGATAAACAAAAATACTCTAAAAAAAGACGGAGAGACGAACAAACTAAAGAGAAACGAAGAAATCCATTCTGAGTCGGCTGCAAGTCAACAACACGTCTATTAAATGTTTTACTGTCTGAGTCGCTATACCTTTGTTCATCCGCTTCTTCGATATTGGCAACTATTACATCTTTTGCAGTTATTTGGGAATTGTAAAGGTTGTTTCTTAGACAGAATCGCGGCTGAGATGTTGATCGGCCTCACGACTAACAGATGAAAATGAAACGAGTGAGGCAAGCATCCAAATATTTGTTGAAATGTCTTGATCCATGTTGTTATGACAACAAAACATTTCGTGACTATTCGATTTATGGGGGAGAATATTAAAGCTATGGCAATTTGGTAAGAAAACAAAAGTTAAATAAGACTCCGGTTTTTCCTTACCTTACCTTACTGTGCTTGCAATTTTCCGCCACCCTTGTTAAACAACGAGGCAGAACTTTCGCTCGAAAGATTCGGTTTGAACGAAATGATTCGATTCCTTCTTTCATATCAGTTTAAGAGGGAAGATATGAGGGTTGAACTTGCTTTGTGAATTCGTCCATTGAATTGAGGCTTTTTAATTGAAAAAGGCCAGTCTAATTGCGGCAAATCTTTGGTCTCGATTTTATTTTTAACGTTGTACACGGTAGAACTCTTTACATGATTTCTGTACCGTTTGCACGAATCATTAATTTGTTCTTTAGCGAAAAAAAATTGTCTTGTCGTAGGTTGTGTTGGTAAAAGATGAGTGCTTGCTTCTATGAATTCCGCAGTAAAATATTTTGTATCATATGTTTGAGCTCAAACGCTTTCAATTTTTTCTTTAATGTATCAACACACGGATGAAGCGCGTTCAATTTTTTTGTTTTATTAGCACAGAAAATAACCTTATTTCTCATCTTCATGATAACAGAGAATTTCACTTACCTTGAAAAGGAATAGCGAATGATAAACACGCAATTATTCCTTAGAGACCCACACTCATTAACGTCAGGGAGACTTGGTTATCAGCTCTCAAAAGCTTTTAAGCCTAAAAGATATATAATTCACCTCTGCTCAAAAACGAGCGCCCTCAAACATTTCAGAATGATGTGTCGACATACTTAAGAAGAGCCCTCCAGAAATTACATTCGCACTTTGCGTCAAATTATTGCCAGGTAGCTTTGTTACTCAATGCACAGCCTTCGTGCATTGAAACTTGAGTCCGAGATAAGAACACCTGTGTGACTTAAAAATAATTAATTCCTGAAGATTCCACTTCTTAAAGCAGAAACGAAGTATGATTGGTCAAGCAATTTGAAATTTATTCTCTTACTATTTATTCCCAAAAAAATATTTTTTTGACTCAGTTATCATTAGGTTAAGAGAAAAGTTGTTTCGAATCATTTATCCAAAACGAGCCTCATGTTTCAGTTCTAGCCGAAACTTATATGAACGCTATCAATTGTTTGTTTTAATTGTTTATGGCAGTCTTAGAGACTACTTCAGCCCTCTATACATAGAGAATAAAGTAAGTTCCCGCACGACATTTGCCACAATTTTTTTTTCCGTTTAATCTTTTCCAAAGCACCGCAAAACCTCAAAACCGTCGAGGGAAAGTAGAAACAAAGTAGAATTCGACCACCATCGTGTTAAAACAAATACACAGACCTTCTATGGATGGCATTCATAGGTGATATCTGAAAACTAAATCCTAAAAGGTAGCCGTAGTTAGTTTTCCCTCAAATATTTACCAAACTCTATTTTGGGATTTTAGTCAAACTTATTCTACGTAACTCTAGAGCTGATAAATATACGAAATGCGATCCTCAACCACTTGATTGCTACCGAGTTAAAAATGCTGTCTTTCATCAAGGTATTATGACTATGATTACGATACCAACCGTTTGTTTTAAGCCAAAGTCTAATAATTAACATTGAAAAAGAACTTCATGGTTTCTGTTTTCGCTCCTCTCAAGTATTGAATTCAACAAGATTCGGGTCGGAAGTTAAAATATTATAGTCGTTCTGTTTGCGATGTTTGCTAACCAATGGCGAGGATATTTGTTTCATTAATTTTAAATGAAAACTAATCGGTACAAATTATTAGCTTTTAGGCACAAATTAAAGTTTGGTAAATTTTAGTTACAAACATACGAAAGCTACTTTCAAAACAGCTCTTAGGAGTATTTTCATAACACATCCCTGTCATCTTTTCGTAATCCATCGCCTAACAAAAGAAACCCATCCATGAGCTAAGGAAAACATAATTAACCTTGAGGAACGTCAAATTGTCTGTTTCAAGTACAGCAAATATTGATTATGTGGGATGCAGTTAATTTGTTCATAGTAAACAAGATTCCATTATTCGAGAACGACATTAAAACTTGAGTGCAGAGATGAAGCTACAATCGAATTTAAGTTTAGGATCAGGCTAAATAAATTGCAGAAATATTCTACGGAAATGCAATCAAACCCACGTAATTCCAGAAAAAGTTGAATAATTTATTACTCAGCCTGACACTAACAATTGGGCGACTGTGAAGTTCATTTAAGTTAATGAGGCTGCAAATGTGACAGGTTTTTTTTTTTGTCATCTAACATGTGTCAGTTCAAATTCTTTTTATCCTTACGTTACTTAAATTTATGATGTAAGCTGCTCCCAAATTACAGCACTGAAGAATTCTCGCGTGTATTCCAACCCTTTCGTCACCGCAATATGTTATGGTATCGTATAGGTTGTTTTAAAATGAGAGACTTGACAGGTCCTAAAAGGTATTAATGACCATCATTTGAATACAAAACTTTTTTATACTAGTAGAGGCTTGCTCTCTCTGGGTTTTTTTTGTTTGTTTGTTTGTTTTTTTTTTACGCAGCTTTGCTCACTCATTTTAACATTGTTTAAATGTGACATGCGACTGAACAATAGAAGAGAACTTTTGAACAAAATTTTATTGAGATGACTAAATTGAGTTAGAACTGTGTGATCCTAATATCCTCTAGTCCTAAGGAATCTTTCAACTGAATTTGAATTTTAGACCATGAGCAGGTGGTCTAAATTCTGAAATTTGAAACCTCTAAGTGAAACGTTGGCGCTTTTCCATGGACGAGCTTTTCTTTGCAATATTTACATTCTTGCTTTGTATGTACTGCTAAGAACAAAAGAAATTCGAAAAAAAATGTAATAAAATAATTTTGAAACTATTTCGAAAAAAAAAGCATCTTAGACATGGTGATTGCCTGAGTCAAGAGACTTGAAGTTTGAAGCGTACTCATTTAACGTCAAGGGTCCTGTTCACAGTTGAGATGTTATCGGATGTTAATTCACTTGATGCCCGATAGCCTTTCCATATTCGTCCTAATGCGCTGATTAATTCTATACAAATAGATAATCTTATGTTTGGCGTGTAAACCGATTGTGTTGCGTTATTTTTGAGATGTTGGGGAAAGTTTTGGTGGTCTGGGCCAGATTACCTAAGTGCTGTAGTCACTTTTTTCACTCATTAACATTTGTGGAGATGTCAGGTGTCTTGATTTTGATAGAAGGTAATGACCTCTCAGCCTAGAGCAAAGTCACTCTCATTTCACCAGTAAGGCTCAAAGTAAAGCTTAAGACAACCTCTGGGCCTAGAATGCCAACTGATGGGCAATTCACCTCTGTAATAACAATACTGTAACATGTCAAAGAAAAGGTGTGCGGTAGAAAAAGTAATCAGTATTTTAAGGTATTTTCATCTCGTTGGTTTGACAGAGGCGAAAGAAAATCCACATGTTCAACTGGACAGAACTCGGCGGTGCTTCATCTCATGTGTTAGTGTAAACTTTTGCGGTTTTCTGCTTTTTTTTTTTCGAATTTCGGAAATCCAGCCAAGGAGCGCTATGGAAGATATCCAGAAACTGCAATATCTGTGAACACGTTCATTATTGGTTTTACTGTATTTTTTCATTTGATTGTTTTTTAGAGTAACGCCAGCATGCGCACTCACATTCATGGTGTGCGTTATTCACTTCCTTCGGAAACAGATGACATTGACAGGCAAATAATGCAATCCAGCGATGGAAGACGAGGGGCAAAATTTCAGCGGGTGGTTTTATTACCAGGCTTTATTCAGCAACAGCTCCGACTGATTCCATTTATGGAAAAAAAGAAAAAATTCGTTAAGGTGCAAAGTTAACAACCCAGTGCGTCTACACATTTCATTAGTAACGCTTCATGCTCCGGCGTTATGTGAAAATAAGTTTTTCTCAGAGCATTTTATGTACAATAATGCAAAAGGTAGCCATTACTATTCTTAGCCCCTACAGATAACAATAATTTATCCCTTTGTTGAGAGATGCCTTTTTTGCAAGTTTTCCTTTTTTTTTATTATTATTGCTGTTTATTTAATAACAATTGACAATTGAATTCTAACATTACTTGTGGGAGAATTACCTGCAATTTAATCAAGGAAAATGTTCAATATTAAATTAATTGTGACAGTTCTAAAGAAAACTATCTTACTCTCCTTTTGCTGTTCCTTACGTTACAATCTTTTACAATAAGTTTCTTCATTTATTACTGAATTGTTGTCATGTAAAGTTAAAACCAGTTTTGATTGATTACTTTGTTTTTGCCTTACTGGGTTCTGGTTTCATGCATTTACCCGAACATTTCTTTGTTGTTGTTGTCATTTTCCCTGGTTACTGATATTATGATAGAAGCTACTCTTTCGCGATTGCTATCAAGTGAATTTGAAGAGTCTTTTACATAACATTTCATTAGATGAGTGGTACCGAGAACCTACTCTGGCATATGGACTACATAAAAAAGTCCTTGTAAGTTAAATGTATTTACAAAGGGATAAAGTTTTTGTTAAATGATGAGATTACATATGCGATGCCCTTCTACCACTCAAGTAGCTGAGTCACAAAGTGACTCAGCTCATGTCACTTTCCTTTGAAAAGAGCACCAACGATTTTTGGATAGTTTGATACGTTGTTAATAAACTCGCCTCATTTGCTTTGTGTTCGGGTCTCTTCTTGTAAATTAGAAACAAATAAACATCAAATGATTCAAAGACTAGTCCTAGAAAAGAAGTGGCTCTTGCGGGTTTTTCTCCAGCGCTCATTATTTTTCATAGGATTCTTTAAACATTTTTGCAGGTTAAAAAATAGGAAAATTTCACAATGAGAAACTGTTATTTTGATTTCAAATCTAACATTTCTGTGAAATATTGTTGGTGATGTGCTTTAACGGTGTACAAAGTTGTTTACAACACCTTACAACTCACCTGTACTACTCTAAGTCTTATTTTTAGCACATCGCGGCTTCGAATATTTTTCTTTTTGCGTTTCTGTTGTAGAAAAACATTAAACTTTGAAAAAATGGTCAACTTTTAAAAACTACATTCAGTTTTTTTTAAACGTAATCGTACTCATGCAATTTGGTTAGCCTTTTGAAAATTTACTCGTGCTGATTTCTCCCAAATTGCACTCGAAACGCCTGATTACCTATACAAATTGCTGCAAAAAATTGTTTTGACAAATTTCATCTTGAATGAATGGAGTGCCTGTGCGCTTAATTAAATAATGGTTACGCAGGCTAAACCATTGAATTTTGCTTACTGTGTGTCTGGAAATTTGTTTAACGTTCCAAAATACTGAGTCACAATTATTACGTTAACTTTGTGTAATTTCATAGGACATCAGATTTTGACTGTCTTTACTTTTTTTTTCTACGCCGATATTATAAGACAGCGCCTCCTTGTATTCCGTCAACCTACGCTAAAATAACCATGGTTAATAATTACAGCTAAAGAAGGATTTTAAAAAATATACTAAAAAAAAGAAATTCACAATTAAAAGGCTCGAAAACCATCAGCTTGAGATTTTATTTGAAGATTACCTTGAAGATCCTTCAACTGTCTTCGATAACAGAGGCTCTCTGATGAGAATTATCATTATAATGAAATAAATACCTGTTTGCCACCAAAGTTAAAATCTGCTGATAATGTTCACGATAGAGAAGAAAGGTTAAGTAGGTCACATGTTAAAAACGTTACACACATGTAGTTACGGAGCGATTTATGAGTCCTCTTACTGCGCCATGTATATTTGCTTCGCATTCAGTCTGTACCACAGTAGCGTGAATCACAACCAGGTGGGTGGTGAAGTTTGTAGATGAAGTAGGATCCACAGTTTTTCACAAAAATCGTTGTTGAGTATTTGCAAACCGGGAGCTCAGATAGACGATTACTAAAGCAAACCTTCATTTGAACTTCACCATCTTGCACTGTAGGATGAGCACCATCCAACCAGCCTGACCAGTCTGTACCACATCTGTATGCTGGCACACGTGTTGTTGGCATTTTTGTTCCCGCAGCTCCCACAAAACGATACCACCCCTCAGGGAGTTTGTAGTCACACAATTCTGAACCGGGAGGTGTAAGGTAATCTATCTTTCTATTGGCTTCAGTCAGGTTTTCATAATGATAGCAAGGATCAGCTGCAAAGTGAAATGAGAATTGCAAAAGGACTGATATTATTAAAATCAAGCCTAAAAGATATCTATTTGAGTGCCCTCAAATATTTCAGAATTATGTGTTGACTTAAGAAAAGCCCTCCAGAGATTTTGCGTCAAATCGTCGCCAAGTAGTTTCGTTTCTTAATGCACAACCTTTGTGCATTGAAACTTGAGTCCGAGTTAAGTCCTTAAAAATTGTTTTAACTATGGTTCCGTGACCAAAAATTGATGCATTGAGGACATTTATTTTTTATGAGGTTTCTACTGTAGGAAAGACGCCCCCGTGGACGTAAATTACAACCGCCGGACCGGTGCCGCTTGAAGATAATTAAGTCCTGAATATTCCACTTTTCAAAGCAGAAAAGAAGTACGACCGGTCAAGCAATTTGAACTATATTCTCTTAATATTTATTCCCAAACAATATTTTTTGACTGAACTCAGTTATCAATATTTGAGAGAAAAGTTGCCTAGAATCATTTATCCAAAATGAACCTCATGATTCATGCTATCAATTACTTTGTCTAAATGTTGATATTCGTCTTAAAGACTAATCCAGCCCTCTACACATGGAGAATAAAGAAGTTGCTGCACGAGATTTGGCGAATTTTTTTGTGCTTTTTTTCATTTGATCTCCTTCAAGGCACCGCAAAACCTCAAAGCCGTCGAGGGAAAGCTATTGTATTAAAAAATGTCCCTATGGAAATATCGTGGTTTTTACGTTCTATTTGATAAATGTTGGCCATATTTTGAAAGTGTGAGATTTTTGAAAGCGATATTTCACCGCCGCAAATGACTGAAAACAAAAAAAAAAATTACTGTGAAACAGCACTTCTAACAAGGGACAAAATAAAACGGTGCACCAAATAGGCCTTATAAATCTAAGCTGATCTCAAAGAAACTATGCAGTTTTGGTTCCTTTTCTAAATTCTGTGGCTGTGTAAGTTTACTAATAACTTGTGCGATCCTAATAACTTCTAGTCCCAAATAATCTTTTATTTGAATTTAAATATAGAGCATGTACAGGTGATCTGAATTCTGAAACCTCTCGGGCAAACTCTGGCGCTTTTCCACGGACGAGCTTATCGAGGCAGTCTTTATAATCTTGTTTTGTTTCTACTGTTAAGAACTACCGATATTCGAATAAAGTGTAATGAAAGAATTGTGAATATGTTTCGAAAAAGCATCTGGGACAGGGTGTTTGTCTCCGTTGAGAGACTCGAAGTTTGAAGCGTGCTCATTTAGCGTCACTCTCAGGGTCGTGTTCACGGTTCGAGATGTTATCAGACATTAATTCATGCGATGCCCTTTACACATTCATTCAAGTGCGCTGATCAATTTTGAACAAATAGATAATTGTATGTTTGGCGAGTAACCGATTGTGCTGCGTTATCATTGAGATCATTTTAGGAAAAGTTTTAAGTTATATCACGTGGACTTACTTTCCAACGATTACGGTCCATCTATTTGCTAATTAGAATGATGAATTAACTTTTTGGTGGTTTGTGCCAGGTTACCTAACAAATTCAATATGGGTGGTCAAAACTCGCTTATGTCTCTAGTATTCTGATTCCCTTGCTGAAAACACAAACACCTCAGTAAAAATGAATTTTTGGTAAGATATTTGTTTGCAAAGATGAATGACACCTTTTTTACCTAAGAGAGAGAAAAGAAAAGTGAACCATTTACACACTTCCATCAGTATGTATTTCCCCCGTTCTGTTCTTGATACATTTTAGACATGCAACTTACAAGGAGAATGTAGTTAAAAATCAAGAGCTCTTTCAAGTTTGTGATCATTTCTTTAGTTTCTTATAAGCCTAACGTTGATTCAGCAGTGAATAATAAATTGTTTGGTACTTTTCTCAATCGCAATTTCACTGTGAACTGGAATCAAGTTGGTGGCGCATGTAATTGTGCTCACCAATTCCTCACTTACATGAAATCCAGATGGATGACTTATTTTGTACTCCTTGTTCTCTACAGATGCTCTGTTAAAGTTGTGGAGACATGAGGAGTTGAGAGGTTTATACAAGGTAACCTTGATATGTATCGGTTGACAGCTTTTTGATTGATTGATCAAGTTAAAAACTGAGATTATTTTGACTGTGTGTGCTGGTCTTGTGGTGAAGTATGCAGGGTATTGGTCTCTAACAAAGTCAATCAAATCCAAGAAGTCACAAGTGGTGTGTACCGCTCCATGTGTACCTTAATACCTTGGGCTTAAGAACACAAAAAATAATGGCATAAAATGTTGTAAAATAGAGGAATTATTAAATATATATATGTATATAGTCTTTAGTTCCTAAATGTACATGGGAGATTCAATAGTGGAAGTGTAAAAGTGCTCTTATAGAGCACAATTTGAAAACTTTACATCAATGCATCGGGCCTATTTTTTTGAGTGACTCATTGTTTGGTACTCTGATTGCAGAGAACTTTAGGTATCTTACAGATGTAGGTCTTCATGATGCAATCACAATTATGTCTTTGATATTCACTTTTGAGACTTAATGTAAAACATTTTAATATTGTAGTTAGTATGTTTTGGTTGCTGCATATGCACTAAGCCAACAGTGGTTTTCAATCCTCCTTAAAAAAAGGAGGGAAACAATCAAAAAGAGAAAAAGGGAAGGTAAGCGCAAAAACAAAAGAGAAGCATAAACATCAGTCTCAGAGTCAGGAACCATACAAAGCTATTTCAGCCTTTTTTAAGACCCCGCTATCTTCGCCTAGCTTAGATATGGTATTGTGAGTGATTAACCTGAGTTTATGTGTTTGGATGGAACATAAAGTTTGCTCATATCATTTTCTTTTACTTGACCAGGGTTACGTTCCAGGTGTTTTTGGCGTATGCACGGAGCACTGCAATTCATGGCCTATGAGGAGCTGAAGAAAGGCTACAGTCAATATTTTGGAACACCAATCAACAAGAAGCTGGTGAATACTGTCTGCACTTGTCTGTATAGTTGATTGTATACGTGTTAAAGCTCACAAATTCAACCGAGTTAGCAAACAAGAAACTCTTGATCTTAATCCTTGACATACAAAACATGTGAAGTGCTTTTACACTAATCATGTTAATAGCTTAGGGTGAATGATTGAAGTGTTGTCATTTACTGGAACGAAACTTTACTCTCAACTCCCCTCTCCACCCAGAAGGATTGATAAGAATCAACCCTTTGCCCCCCCCCCCCCAAGAATGACTGACATCTAACTTCTCCTTACAATATCACCTCTGAATCACACATGGAGGTCATGAGAAGAGAGGAAATATTCAGCCACCGAAAAAGTTCTTGACTGTTTAAGAAATTCTCCTTGTTAGTATCTTTGGAAATGTATAGAGAACAGTATGGAGAATATGGATACTGATGTTAGGGTGTAAAGGGTCAACACGAACACATGTAATGGTCAGTGGCGAATGTAAAGGGAGAACATGAGAGAGGGAAGGGTGGGGGAAGTTTTTGGCTTCTCATCTTGAGTAGTAGTCCTCCATGACGAGCTTCAGCATTTTGAAGCTACAACTGACGCCCAAACGACAACCTTAATACCTTTGTTGTGCACGTGGCTGGTAGGAAGGTACTTATAGGATGACTTTTATTATTATGTAACCGTGGGTTATCTTGGGAATCACTCTGAAGTGCTGAAAATATAGTAGTTCTTTTTTTTATATAAAGTGTTTTGCTCTCTAATTTATGTTTTGCTAACTTTCATTTTCGTCAGAGTTCAACTGAGTACCTTGTAATGGCTTCACTGTCGAAGATTTTCGCCGCAACAGCGACATATCCTTATCAAGTGGTTAGAGCAAGACTTCAGGTTAGAATGGGAGATTCATTAGCAAATGATTAACCTTTTGACATAGATTTAGATTTCGTTTTACTGTTGTATGCTATTATCTTGAAATAAACTTGTAGTTTAAGGCTGTTTTTAGTTTTCAGGCCGGTGATCTCATCGGTTGGTTTACTGGACTCCAGTTTGATGTGGCCTGTGCTCGGGCCTCGAGCCTCAGCTAGGTCAATGTGTCGGTTCCTTGGGAAAAGATTCGTTAGCCCCACACATCCCCCCTCCCGGTGGGTCAAATGGGCACCAACAAAAGGCCAGGGAAACCCTACAATGAGGATAAATACCAAATCTCACGAGGGAGAATAGCTTTCACCCTCTTTCACTCTCTCTATTCCTCTTAAGAAACACGGATCCAAGATGGTTATGAGAATGCACGGCGCGAAAGTTTTGATCCTATGCCCATAAAATTAGCTAAAACCAATTGAATATATCTGGAGCTGTCTCTAAGCAAGTCTGATTTGTTAAATCGTTCAGTATTTACTGTTTCCTGCTGTCATTTATTGTTCATGAATTTTACTTTTCTAAAGAAGCAGTACACGATGGTGGAATACAAAGGCGCGTTGGATGTGATTCGTAAGACTTTCAGGTAAGTTGGAACTTGACATGAGGACTTAAAGTTTTCGATACGTTATAGACTAGCTTTCCATCTCTAGTCAGTTCAAACTCTCTACATTAAAGAGAGGTACATGTTTTGCCCGTTTGAAACAATTTGACAAAGAACTGGACCAAAATTGGCGGAGAACTGAAACCAGCTTGTTTGAGAACTGGATCCAATTTCGGACTGACTTACGGCTTAGTGGTAAAGTCCACATTTTTATGAAAGAAGGTATTCTACTTTTTCTGGCCTCTCCTCATGGCAGGTTCTTTTCCAAATCTTAGGCATGAAGGAGTAACAGGATTTTATAAAGGATTAATTCCCAGTGTCCTCAGGTAAGGCTAAATGTTAAAAATAAATTTGATGATACAAGTAGGTTTGCTTGTTAGTTTTATGTGTTAAACCGCAATGTATAATCTAGAATTGGCCAAGAGGGCTTAGTGGGCTCTCATCTTTAATTTTGGGTAGCGCTTTGTAAAGGAAAGGGTCTTAAGAGATGGGGTACCCCCATGAGGTGTTTGAACTTATTTGCACCCTCTAGTCTGTGAGAAACTGGGAAGAAGAGACAGGCGATAGATACATTAAGAGGCTATAAAATTTGGAGTAGGTGTCATGTCACTGTTTTCGTCAGTTACATGTTCGAATACTGTGAAATTATTAAGATACTTATCGTTATCACAAATGTTTGTGCCCCACCTCATATGTTAGTGTAAGTTTTCGCGGTTTTTTCGTTTTTGGAAATCCAGCAAAGGAGCGCTTTAGAAGAAACCCTGAAACTGTAATATATGTAAAACGTTCATTGTCGATTTTACTGTGTATTGTGCGTTTGATTGTTGTTGATTTTGTTTCTTTTTAGAGTAACGCCAGCATGTGCACTTACATTCGTGGTGTACGAAAACGTTATTCACTTCCTTCTGCCGGACAGATGACATCGACAGGATAAATGATGGAATCCGGCAACGGGAGACGATGGGCAATACTACAGCACCTGGTTTTATTACCAGACTTTCTTCTGCAACAGTTCCGACTGATTCATTTATGGAAAAAAATATATTAACCGAGCGAAGTTAACCGCCCAGTGCGTTTACACATTTTATCGATAACTTCATTTACCAGCGGAATGTGAATATGAATTTTTTCAGAGCAATTTTTGTACATCAATGCAAAAGGTATCCATTATTACTATCAGGTCCTAAGGGTAACAATGACTTCTCCCATTGATCTTTTATAAAGAGAACCCCCTCCCCTTTGTCCCTTGTCCCATACGGGTATCAAATTTATGTACATCCCTTAGCACTAACAAAGGCATGAACTACAAGAGATGCCTTTTTGCAATTTTTTTTTTTTATTACTATTAACTTCATAATTCAAACATTACTTGTGAAAACTACTTGCAATTAATCAAGAAAAATGTTCAATATTAAGTTAAAAATTACCTTATTTTCCTTTTTCTGTTCCTTTCGTTAACAATCTTTTTCAATAACTTTCTCCATTTGTCACTGAATCGTTGCGATGTAAAGTTGAACCCAGTTTTTATTTATGGCTCTGTTTTTACTTCACTGCAACATTTCCTTGTTGTTGTTGTTATTTTTCCCTGGTTATTGACATTAACTTCAGTAAAAAACGGTGAAAGCTACTCTTTCGCGATCGCTATTAGATGGGTGGTATCGAGAACCTACTCCGACCCATGGACTACACTGCCCTTAACGCTTACTCGTGTTCGTGTTATGAAACTCAGCTAAAAATAGTCCGTGTAAGTTAAATTTATTTACAGAGATACACAGTTTTTGTTAAATAATGAGATAATCTATTTACACCACTCAAGAAGCTGAGCCACAATTGACCCAGCTCATATCACTTTGCTTTGAAGAGTCTATTTTGATACGTTGTCAAGAAATTCAAAATAAGCGTGAGATGTAAGCGATCCATTAATTTCAAATGAATTCTGGTCGATTCGGACACATTTAACACACGGTTACGCAGGCTAAACCATTGAATTTTGCTTACTGTGTTTCTGGAAATTGGTTCAATGTTTCAAAATACTGAGTCACTATTAATACGTTAACTTTATGTAATTTCAAACTACATCAGATTTTGACTGTCATCGCTTTTTTTTTCTACGCCTATAACGTAAGATAGCGCCTGTTTGTATTCCACGGACACACGCTAAAATAATCATGGTTTATAATTACAGCAATTGAAGGATGAAAAAAAAAATAAAAAAAAAAATAAAAGGCTCGAAAACCTTAAGCTTGAGAGTTTGTGTCTTGCAGATTTTACTGGAAAATTACTTAAAGATACTTGGGGAAACTCTCTTTGATGACAGAGGCTATCTGATGAAAATTATCACTCTAATGAGATAAGTACCTGTTTGCCACCAAAGTTAAAATCTGATGATAATGTTTACGATAGAGAAGAAAGGTTGAATACCTTACATGTCAAAACTTTATATACATGTATCTACGGAGCGATTTGTGTGTTCTCTTACTACGCGAAGTATATTTGCTTCACATTCAGTCTGCACTACAGTAGCGTGAGTGACAACTTCGTGGCTTTAAAAGTTTGTAGATAAAGTAGGATCCACAGTTTTTACAAAAATATCTTCTGTGTATCGGCAACCAGTAAAGCGATCACTAAAGCAGACCTTCCTGAAAACTTCACCATCTTCCACTGTAGGATGAGCACCATCCAACCAACCTGGCCAGTCTGTACCACATCTGTATGCTGGCACACGTGTTGTGGGCATTTTGTTCCTGCAGCTCCCACAAAACGATACCATTCCTCAGGGAGTTGTTTGTCACACAACCCTGAACCGTCAGGTGTTACGTAAGTTATCTTTCTTTTGGCATCACTTAGGTTTTTATAATGAAAGCAAGGATCGGCTGCGAAGTGAAATGAAATTTGCCAAAGGACTGTAGGTATTAAAATAAATGGTTCAAGATCTTTTCTAACGTCTTATAATTCTAGCAGCTTGTCAATCAGTGGTGAAACTTGTACTTAAGAAGAAAAGTGACTTTACATTAGTTAAGGGGCTAAGTAGTACATGTCAAATCCCGGTGTAGCGTAATTGTTCTTTCTATCGGCATCACTCAGGTTTTGATGATAACAACATGGGTCGGATATTAAAATAAATAAAAATTATAAAATGTTGCAGTACCAATGATAACATTTTTTTGTTGTTGACATTTTTCAAGTCAATCAGTTCGATAACAACCAGATAGGACTTGCGTGTTACAAGAACAACTATGCATTAAATTAATTTTAAGGGAATTTTGCGTTGGACAATAATGATGCACTAAAGATTTAAAATGAAATGATAGTATTGTAAAGAGTTATTTTTCCTCTTGCTTTAATCGCCCATCAAAGCCTGTAGTTGTTTGTACCTCAACTGAATGCTACCAAATGCGCTTAAGACATTTTTGACCCTCACTTCCCACACAACGATACCAGCCCACAGGTATTTGGTAACAACACAGTTATTTCCCATGACTGTATAAGAACTCTCTGCCTGTTAGCATCATCCAATTATTTATAACCATAGCGCAAATTGGCTTGCAAAAGTCAAACGAATTTGATTGATCATACCTGTTATTATGGGGAATCTTTTTAAGGTTAGAGTTTCTCAACAGTTTTTTAGTTCCGCGTAGTGTGTTATGTCTGCATCATGTAAAAGTTCGTGTAAGGTTTTAAAAACATAATCAAAATTTACAAACATTGAAGCGATCCTCGCAGTTTTGAACACTACTACACTGGCAGTAGCAGTGCACATATATGATTTTCATATGTTTACATTAATGTATTCACCAATTAGATGGTTTATTTGTAACTAGCAGCTCCCAGTTAGCCTGTTAGCTCAGTTGGTAGAGCGTTGCACCGGTATCGTAAAGGTCATGGGTTGAAATCCCGTACGGTTTCAGGCCTTATTTTCACTACTAGTTCAGTGGTATTCATAACCGCGAGGATTGCCTCTATATTCGTTTCTTCAACCGCAGTGCACATGCATGATTTTCATATAGTTATAGTCATGTATAATCAAAAGTTGTTTCGTTTTTGTACACAAGGGAGCGTAAAATTATGCCTCCTGGATGTGAATTTCGAATGGAAGTCAGCTCTAAGCCAATTTACTGCTACGTTTAACGTGGGAAACAAAATATAGATTTCATCGCCTTCATGAAAAACCAAACTAACCTTTACATTTAAAACCATTCCCAATATACGTAGGATTGCAAGAACAGTTGTATGAGCCCTGGGTATTAGTGCAAGATGCATTTGGATGGCATCCGTTCATTTTGACGGTATGAGCCTTGCTGCATTCGTCAACGTCTGAGAGAAAACAATTAATTTTCCATGGGTTTATAGGTGCAATCAACGATGGGTTTTTGACCAATCACGGCGCTACCAGGATCATGATTATTTTATAAAACTTGATGATTATAATTTCCAACTTTTTCCCTCAAATATATCTTAAGCGTCAACAAAAACTCAGTGCCAAGGGTGTTATTGCACTTAGCATTCACGTGACAGGAGTGATTTCCTTTACACTCATCAATATCAGGGAAACCGTAAATGCATTTTGCACTTTATTTTCGTCACCTAACGATTTGTAATTGCTTTAATCATTTCAAATAATAAGTAATAGCTTTCACTTTTTCGTCTTTAACGAACTAGACTTTTGAAACGTGCAACCTAGATATTATATTCTCTTCTCTAATGTTTTTTTTAATTTCCTAATATGATGGCTCTGAAAAAAACCGGATGTAGATCATGGCAACTCCGTGCATAAACATGTATGGGTAATGCTGCGTAAAAAGACAAAACTTAACAATAGTAGGACAGTAGTTCCTGCTAAAATTGCGTTGTGTAATGCTAAGGCTTCTCTGATATAGTATGCAAACTATTATTGGTCTGTTATTCACTCACTCGATTGCAGATAGCTCAAATGTAATTTCAGTGTTTTTAGGCGAAAAAATAATTAAATGTTGTACCTCGGCATGTCTGTAACTATTTTACCTGAGCACGAGCGTCCATCCCCAGTAAATCCTTCTTTGCAGGTGCAATTATAAAATCCAACAGTATTGGAACAGTTTGCATTTTCGTCACAAACGTCATTGCTGCCTTTACACTCATCGATGTCTATTTGAAAATTAATCGAAGAAATCACTGAGACAAGGTGAAAACATTTCACAGAAGGCCAGGGCAAAGGTAGACCAAACGCTGTGTAAATTCTATTCTTGTTATACTGACTTACCTTCCAAATCATGTCGCAATAAACCAACTTTGAGCTCCCGACATTAGTTGGATCCAACCAGTAAGTTTTACTGATGCTGTCTTTACCTTCACTTAATTTTATCTCTTGGCACGATAACGCTGGTAATTCAGGAATAGATCCTAAGGGGGCTAATATATAGACATGACTTCATTAATGGTTTAAGGGTAATAGAAGTTGCAAAACAGATTAGATCTGAAAATATGTTTGTCCGAGCAAGATAAACATGGAATAACAATAATTAAGAGTTGAGTAGTTTAGCTGATATCAATATATGTATGGAAGGCGAATTTTGCTTTAAGAAACTGACCCTATTTAATAACAAAGCAATCGGACACCAGCTCTCGGAAAGTAGCGAGGTCTTACTAGGAACTCACTGAGAAAGATTTGTATGTAAAATAAACTAAACCGGATACATACTTCTACCATTAATGCGTCCCATGTAAAAGCGTAAACCATCTGGCTGGAAATTTTCGGGCCTTGCTTCCTTGGTTCGGGTATTTAATTCACAGGACTTTTCCCCAATTACATAATTGTAGCTTTGACATATCGTCTCCCTCTCGCAGGTGACATTGCACACGTGAGGAGCTGTTACTGGGACCTTTTTAAAGACGAATCCTTTGAGAGCCATACCGGGTACGCTAACTCCTGTCTTGCACGGATTTTTAGCAATAGCGAGGTCTTTGAAATACAAAGAGGCCAGGATGATAAAGAAGCTTGAATTCCACGCCATCACCACCGATGCTGAAATTGAATAGTATATATTATTTAGGAATATGCCTTAGACGTTTTTTCTAGCCTATAAATTTAACGCAAACCAAACCAAACAAGTAAACAAACAAAAATGCCCTTAAAAAAATAGACGGAGGGAGAAACTAACGGAAGAGAAATGAAGGAATCCATTCTGAGTCGGCTGCAAGTCAACAACAAGTCTACCAAATGTGTTACTGTTTACTGTTTTTTACTTTACTTAAAAGGCCAGTTGAACTGCGGCAAATCTTTGGTCTCGATTTTATTTAAAACGTTAAACACGGAAGAACTCTAATTTGTTCTTTAGCGGTAAAAAATTGTCTTGTCGTAGGTTGCGTTGGTAAAAGATGATTCCTCGCTCCTTTAAATTCCTCAATACAATGTTTTGCATCATATCTTGGAGCTCAAACGCTTGCAATTTTTTCTTTAATGTATCAACACACGGATGAAGCACGTTAAAGTTTACCGTTTTATTAGCACAGAAAACAACACTATTTCTCATCTTAATGATAACAACGAATTTCACTTACTCTGAAAAGGAATAACGAATGATAAACACGCAATTATTCCTTAGAGCCCCGCACTCACCAACGTCAGGGAGACTTGGTTATCAGCTCTCAGAACCTTTTAAGCCTAAAAGGTATATAATTCACCTCTGCTCAAGAACGAGTGCCCTCAAACATTTCAGAATGGTGTGTTTACATACATAAGAAAAGCCATCCAGAAATTGCATCCGCACTTTGCGTCAAATTGTTGCCAAGTAGCTTCGTTTCTCAATGCACAGCCTTTGTGCACTGAAACTTAAGTCCGAGATAAGAACACCTGTGCGACTTGAAAATAATTAATTCCTAAAGATTCCACTTCTCAAAGCAGAAGAGAAGAGAAGTACCATCGATCAAGTCATTTGAAATTTTTTTCTCTTACTATTTATTCCCAAAAAAATATTTTTTGACAGTTGAGAGAAAAGTTGTTTCGAATCATTTATTCAAAATGAACCTCATGATTCCGTTCTTACCGAAACTTATATCAACGCTATCAATTGTTTGTTTAAATTGCTTATGTTAGTCTTAGAGACTACTTCAGCCCCCTATACATAGAGAATAAAGTAAGTTCCCGCACGACATTTGCTACAATTTTTTTTCGTTTGATCTTTTCCAAGGCACCACAAAAAATCTCAAAACCGTCGAGGGAAAGTAGAAACAAAGTAGAATTCGACCATCATCGTGTTAAAACAAATACACCGGCCCCTATGGATGGCATTCATAGGTGATAACTGAAAACTAAATCCTAAAAGGTAGCCGTAGTTAGTTTGCCGTCAAATATTTACCAAACCCTATTTTGGGATTTAAGTCAAACTTATTCTATGTAACTCTAGAGCTGATAAATATAAGAAATGCGGTCCTCAAAAACCTGATTGCTACCGAGTTAAAAATGCTGTCTTTCATCAAGGTATTATAACTATGATTACGATACCAACCGTTTGTTTTAAGCCGATGTATAATAATTAACATTAAAAAAGAACTTCATCGTTTCTGTTTTGGCTCCTCGCAAGTGTTGAATTCAACAACATTCGGGCCGGATGTTACAGTGTTTTAATCGTTCTGTTTGCGATGTTTGCCGACCAATAGCGAAGATACTTGTTTCATTAATTTTAAATGAAAACTAATCGGTATAAATTATTAGCTTTCAGGCACGAATTAAGGTTTGACAAATTTTAACTACAAACATACGAGAGCTGCTTTCAAAACAGCTCCTAGGAGTATTCTCATAACACATCCCTCTCATCTTTTCATTATCCATTGCCTAACTAAAGAAACTCATCCATAAGCTAAGGAAAACATAATTAACCTTGAGGAACGTCAAGCTGTCCGTTCCAAGTAAAGCAAATATTGATTGTGTGGGATGCAGTTAGTTGGTTCATAGTAAACAAGATTCCATTATTCGAGAACGACATAAGAACTTGAATGCAGAGATGAAGCTACAATTCGAATTTAGGTTCAGGATCAGGCCATGTAAATTGCAGAAATATTCTACGGAAATGCAAACAAACTTACGAAATTCCAGAAAAAATTGAAAATTCTTACTCAGCCCGATATTACCAATTGCGCGACTGTGAAGTTTATTTAAGTTAATGGCGCTGCAAATGTGACAGGTTCTTTTTTGTCATCTAACGTGTTCAAGTTCTTTTTATTTGTACGTTACTTAAATTTATGATGTAAACTGCTCCCAAATTATACCGCTGAAGAATTTCTCGCGTGTCTTCCAACCCCTTCGTCACCACAATATGATATTGTATCGTATAGTTTGTTTTAAAATGAAAGACTTGACAGGTCCCAAAAGCTATTAACCATCATTTAAATACAAAACTTTTATACTAATAGAAGCTCGCTCTCTCTGGGTTGCTTGTTTGCTTTTTTTTTTTTTTTTTTTTAACACGGCGTTGCTCACTTTTTTTAACATCGTTTAAATGTGACATACGGCTGAACAATAGAAGGGAACTTTTCAAAAAAATGTATTTGAAATGACAAAATTGAGTTAGAACTGTGTGATCCTAATATCCTAAGAAATCTTTCAACTGAATTTGAATTTTAGACCATGAACAGTTGGTCTAAATTCTGAAATTTCAAACCTCTCAGTCTAACGTTGGCGCTTTTCCATGGACGAGCTTTTCTTTGCAGTATTTACATTCTTGTTTTGTTTTTACTGCTAACAACTACAGATATTGGAAAAAAGTGTGATTAAAGAATTGTGAAACTATTTCGAAAAAAGCGTCTGAGACATGGTGTTTGTCTCAGTCAAGAGACTCGAAGTATGAAGCGTACTCGTTTAGCGTAACTCTCAGGGTCCTGTTCACACTTCGAGATGTTATCGGATGTTAATTCACTTGATACCCGATAGCCTTTCCATATTTGTGAATATTTGCTATTTGCTGATTAATTCTATTTGCTATTTGCTGATTAATTCTAAGCAAATAGATAATGATTTGGCGAGTAAATGATTGTGTTGCGTTATTTTTGGGATTATGTTGGGGAAAGTTTTGGTGGTTTGGGTTAGGTAACCTAAGTGCAATAGTCATTATTTTTACTCATTATCATTTGTGGAGATGTCAGGTGTCTTGATTTTGATAGGAGGTAATGAGCTCTCAGCCTAGAGCAAAGTCACTCTCATTTCACCAGTAGGGCTCAAAGTAAAGCTCAAGACAATCTATGGGCCTAGAATACCAACTGGTTGGCAATTCACCTCTATAATAACAATATTGTAACATTTTAAAGAAAAGGTGTGCGGTTGAAAAAGTAATCGGTATATAAAGGTATTTTCATCTCGTTGGTTTGGCGGAGGCGAAGAAAATCCATACGTTTGACTGGACAGAACTCGGTGGTGAACTGAGCCAAGCTCTTTGGACAACATAGCCAAGTTCTCTTATTAACTTCCTTTGATCAAGTCTACGATTTAGGAGTGAAGTTTAACCAAATTTTTTGCCATTCCTAAGATAATTTAGCCTACTTATTGGGCATTTTGATATGTGTCTGATCTCTTTTCACTGCGATTTTCTTTTAAATCTCAGGCACGATGGAGTGAGAGGATTTTAGAAAGGATTGATTCCCAGTGTCTTGAAGTAAGATTCAATGTAATGGATAATTTTGGTGGTACAAGTAGGTTTGACGATATGTGAAATTCCGATATTTCTTTGAACACGATCCCTGTATATTTTTTGTTGTTTTCTAAAGTATGTACAATCGCATGTACGTAGCATGTACAGTCGCATTCGTGGTGTGCGGAAACAATATTCACTTCTTTCTTCCAAACAGATGACATCGAGAGGATTAATAATGTAATGAGACTACCATGCAGTAGATGAAAATAGGTAGAGTTGCAGCTCATGGTTTTATTACCAAGTTTTATTTGGCAACAGTTCTGACCATTCCAACCATCATAAAATAAAAAGAACACAATTATGCAAACGCTACGCAGTTAACTGCCTTGTGCCTTCATATCATTGACCTCATTCACCAGAGGCTTGTAATTATTGAACATTTTTCACAGCATTTTATACACAACAATGCAATTGATATCCATCACTTTTCTTAGCTCTTAAAGATAACAATGACCTCTCCCATTGTTCTTTTATAGGGAACTTCTCCCTCCTCACCCCTCCTCCCACCCTGTTGATTGCATCTTTATGCGCATCCCCTAATTACTAACAAAGGAGTGATTAATATGTAACTTCTCCCTATAATATCCTTACGTTATCTAGCAAACTGGTAATGAAAATACTCAAACTTATCTTGATCTTACAGCAAATTCTCATCACTTATTTACAAAGAAATGTCTAGGAGCAAGAGGGGAGAGTTAGCAATCAGATCTTGGTGGTTAAAGAGTAAATGAATCAAACCAGTATGCTAAAGATCCTTATTAATTTTAGCTGAGAACTTGGTTTTAACTTGTACTCTGTATAGTACTTGCACTCATTCAGCCTTTCTGCCTTGTGGAATGTGTTCTTCTTATCTCTAGGAACTAGGCACATTGTTAGTAACAAATCCAACATGGGTGGTTAAAACTTGCTTATGTCTCCAGTACGTAATTACAGAGTTAAAAGAAATGTATTCAGACTTAAATTTTTACAGGTGCACTTTTCATGTGCATGGAAAATGCAGAAGTGGGAGTATACTTGGAAATCACAATTAGAAAACTTTATACCCCGCAAAACTAATTCAGCCCAATTTAACCCTTTAACCTCCAAGGTCTGTTTACTTATTCTCCTCTTTAGTGGTTACACATTTCTTTGTAAATTAGTTAGGAGAATTTGGTTCTATCTGATAAGTTTGAGTATCATCGTCACCTTTTTGTTGGATAATGTATAGATGTTACAAAGAGAAGTTACCTCTGGGAGTGAAGGCTTAAGGCCTCACCAGCTTGGCATAGCTCAAATAATGGCATTTAACTCCCACATGGAAAGATACAATGACGCAGATATAGCACATTTATGGAAAGTGGCTGCGATCACAAAATGATGATATACTCTTTAGTAAATGGTAATTACACACAAAGCAATCAGATTAGCAGCCATGGGTTTCCATCTCAAGATGTATAGTGCACTTAATTCTTTATTTCCCAAGATTGATCATGGTATAAATTCTCCTTACCATTTTTATGTATTGCTAAGCAGACAGGAATCTCTAATTTAAATGAAAGGAATTAACCTGAGTTTTACTGTTTGGATGGAACATGAAGTTTGGTCATATCATTTTATTTTACTTGATCAGGGTTACATTTCGGCGTATCACATGGAGCACTGCAATTCATGGCTTATAAGGAGCTGAAGAAAGGCTACAGTCAATATTTTGGAACACCAATCAACAAGAAGCTGGTGAATACTGTCTGCGCGTGTCTGTATAGTTAATTATATGCGTTTTAAAGTTCACAGATTCAACTGAGTTAGCAAACCAGAAACTCTTGATATTAAAACTGGACAAACAAGAGCATGTAAAGTGCTTTGACTCTGATAACATTCATAGTTTAGGGTGGATGATTGAAGTGTTGTAATTTGTTGGAAAAAACTGTACTCTCAACTCCCCTCTCCACCCAGAAGGATTGATAAGAATCAACCCTTTCCCCCCTCTAATATTGACTCACATCTAACTTCTCCTTACAATATCACCTCAGAATCACTCATGGAGGTCATGAGAATAAAGGAAGTAATCAGTAGAAAAGAAGCTCTTGATTGTTAAAGAAATTTTTCAAGTGGTTAGATCAAGACTTCAGGTTAGGATAGAAGATTCATTAGCAAATTATTAACCTGTAATAACCTTTCCAGTTTCAAATCCATCTACATTAAATGAAGGTACATTTATTGCCTGTTTGAAACAATCTGAAAGAGAACTAGACCGAAATTGGCGGAGAACTGAGTCCAGCTTGTTCAAGGACTGGATTCAGTTCTTGGATTGACTTCCATTTATGGCTAAGTGATCAAGTCCACATTTTCATGAAATAGGTATTTTCTTCTTTTTCTGGTTTCCTCTCACAGTGGGTTCTTTTCAAAATCTTAGGCATGAAGGAGTAAGAGAATTTTAAAAAGGATTAATTCCCAGTTTCCTCAGGTAAGGCAGAATGTTAAGGATAAAACTGATGATACAAGGAGATTGGTTGATCAGTTTTATGTGTTAGCCCACTGTGTGTATTTAAGAATTGGCCAAGAGGGCTTAGTGGGCTCCCATCTTTAATTTTAGGGGGCGGTTTAATTTGTAAAGAAAAGGTTCTTAAGAGATGGGGTACCCCAATAAGGTGCTTGAAGTTATTTGTACATTCTTTGAGAGAAACTGGGAAGAAGAAAGAGGCGACAGAAACATTCAGAGGCTATAGAATTGGAAGTTAGTTTTATACAATAGGTATCATATCATTGTTTTTGTCAGGTATATGTTCGAATACTGCAGATAATTAAGATACTAATCCTTATCACAAGTTTTTGTGCTCCATCTGATGTGTTAGTGTAAATTTTTGCGGTTTTCTATTTTTTTTCCGAATTTCGGAAATCTAACTAAGGAGTGCTGTAGAAGATATCTAGAAACAGTAATCTCTGTGAACACTTTCATTGCTGGTTTTACTGTATTTTGCTTGTTGGATTTTTTTATTTTTAGAGTAACGCCGTTATTCACTTCCTTCTGCCGAACAGATGACATCGAAAGGATAAATAACACAATCCAGCAATGGGAGACCATGGGTAAAATTCCCGCTCGTGGTTTTATTACCAAGCTTTATTCAGCAACAGCTCCGACTGTTTCCAAATATGGAAAAAATATGTTAACCGTTAACCGCCCAGTGCGTTTACACTTTTTATGAGTCATTTCATTCACTAACGGAATATGAATATGAATTTTTCTCAGAGCATTTTATACAAAACAATGCAAGAGGTATCCATCACTATTCTTAGCTCTTAAAGATAACAATGATTTATCCCTTTGTTCTTTTACGAACTTCTCCCACAAACCCCCACTGTGGGTAGCAAATTAATGTAAATCCCTTTGCACTAACAACAAAATGCCTTTTTGCAAGTGTTTTTTATAATTACTGTTTATTTAATAATAATTGACAGTTGAATTCTAACATTACTTGTGGGAAAATTACTTGCAATTTAATCGTGGAAAATGTTCAATATCAAGTTAATTGTGACAGTTCCAAAGAAAACTATCTTACTCTCCTTTTGCTATTCGTTACGTTACGATCTTTTACAATAAGTTTCTCCATTTATTACTGAATCTTTGTGATGTAAAGTTAAAACCAGTTTTGATTGATCCCTTTTTTTTTTTGCCTCACTGGGTTCTGGTTTCATGCATTTGCCCGAACATTTCCTTGTTGTTGTCGTTATTTTTCCCTGCTTATTGATTTTTAGTCCGCTAGAAAATGGAGAAGGCTAATCTTTCGCGATTGCTATCAAGTGAATTTGAAGATTCTTTGACATAACCTTCATCAGATGAGTGGCATCGAGAACTTACTCTGGCCTTTGGACTACACTAACCTTAATATTTACTCTCGTGTTTGTGTCATGAAACTCGGCTTAAAACAGTTCGTGTAAGTTGAATTTATTTACCAAGAGATACACAGTTTTTGTTAAATAATGAGATAAAATACACGATACCCGTCTATTTACACCACTCAAAAAGCTGAGCTACAAAGTAACTCAACTCACATCATTTTGCTTCGAAAAGACCAGCAACGACTTTTGGATACTTTAATACGTTGTTAATGAACTCGCCTTGCCTTGCCCCATTTGCTATGTGTCCAGGTCTCTTCTTGAAAATTAGAAACAAATGAACATCAAATAATTCGAAGACAATTCTTAGAAAATTGAAATATCATGTAGTGGGCTTTGGGGATGGGGCTGAGTTTCTTTCCTGCGCTTATTTTTTTTTTCATAGGATTCTTTGAATATTTTTTTCAGGATGAAAAAGGAAATTTCACAGTGAGAAACTGTGATTTTGATTTCAATTATAACTCCTGTGAAAAATTGTTGGTGATGTACTTAAACGGTATAAAATTTTGCTTACAACTTGTATTTACCGTGTATGCACTTGTTTTTAGCACCTCGTAGCTCGGAATGCTTTTCTTTTTACGTGTTTATGTTGTAGGAAAAAATTAACCTCAGAAAAACAGGTCAACCTGAGAAAGCTACATGCACTTTTTAATCATAATCGTACACATGCAAGTTGGTTAGCCTTTGAAAATTTACTAGTGCTGAATTCTCCCAGACTGCACTCGAAACGCGTGATCGATCACCGATACAAATTGCTGCGAAAATAATTATAACAAATTTCGTCTTGAATGAATGAGTTGCCCGCGCGTCTATTTAAATAAGCTTTATAGGGACACTATGAAGCCACTGCATAGATCTTTAACTCAGATTCAAAATCGGTCTACGATGTAAGCGATCCACTTCGAATGAATGTTGGTCGATTCGGACACATTTGACACACGGTTACGACGGGCTGAACCATTGAATTTTGCCTACTGTGTCTGGAAATTGGTTCAGCGTTTCAAAATACTGAATCAATTATAACGTTAACTTTGTGTAATTTCATAGGACATCAGATTTTGACCGTCATTACTGTTTTTTTTTCTACGCCTATAACGTAATATGGCACCTGTTTGTACTCTATTGACCTGTGCTAAAATAAACATGGTTAAAAATTTAGCTAAAGAAGGATTAAAAAACAAACAAACAAACAAACAAAAACCGTAAATAAAAGGCTCGAAAACCATAAGCTTGAGAGTTTGTGTCTTGCAGATTCTACTTGAAGATTACTTTGAAGATCCTTCAACTGTCTTCGATGACAAAGGCTATCTGATGAGAATTATCATTCTAAGGAAATAAATACTTGCATCTCCCACAAAACGATACCATCCCACAAGAAGTTGCTTATCGCACAAGTGTTCCCGTGTATCGTAACTGCTCTTTCTATTGGCATCACTCAGGTTTTGATAATTATAACATGGGTCGGCTGGTAAATGAAATAAACGTTACTAAAGGTTGTGGTATCAAAGATAATTTTTTTTGTTTTTGACATTTTTCAAGTCAGGCAGTTCGACAACAACCAGAAAGGACTAATATTTTACAAGAACAACTATGCGTTAAGTAAAATTTAAAGAAGAATTTGGATCGAACAATGATGATGCACAAAGGAACTAAAATGAAACGGTGGCACTATAAAGAATTATGTTAACTCTTGCTTTAATCGCCCATCAAAGCCTTTCGTTGTTTTTACCTCAACTGGATGCTACCAAATGCGTTTAAGACATTTTTGATCTTCGTTTCCCACACAACAATACCAGCCCAGACGTATCTGGCAGTAACACAATTAAGTCCTAGGAGTGTGCAATGATTCTCTGTCTATTTGCATCATCCAATTATTTATATTCATAACGCGAATGAATGAGTTGCCAGTAATTGGATCCTTGCGTTGGTACAAAGATTTCTAGGATCGCCACAGGGCAAACATTGCAACTCGCTAAAATGAAATGTATGGTTAAAGGTTGACGTCCAAAAAGCCCTATTTTGGAAAGAGATCAACGCTCTTTGCCGCATTTTTATTATAAATCGATTAGGATAATGTTGATACGCGGAAAGCGTAGTTTTTGTTACAATTAACACGAAATATAAAACGTACCGATAAACTTCTCTATTTATGTAAGGTCTTATGTGAAATCGTCATGGCGTAATGGTCTCAACATATTACAAAATTCGCCATAAATTGTTATGAAATAACTCATTTAAGTCTTTTCAGTTGTATTTTTGTATGTACAGCCTTAATTCATACCTGTTAACGTCTTAAATATAAAAATTACGACGTCTAAAAATATACCTCCTCACAGGAGAGAAGTCTTTGTCAGCGGGGATGGAAATTATTTTTACCGGGATCTTGCTCGTTGGAAGGATAAATTAAACGATGAAAACACGAGGAAATCCCTAAGTCAAATAATAGCTTGTTTGAGAAAATCCCAAGATTTTTTTGCTGCCACTTTTCTCCTCGAACTCATTGGAGGAGAAGAGGCAGATTACTGAAAGTCCAGCAGGAACTGTGGGCATATATTCGCTTTTGCATCGCTCCTTAAGCGACCCATTTGTACCCACGCATCCTCGGAGAGTAAAAAGGGTTTAGTTTTGCGTCGATTATTAATGCCGTTTCGTTCTCATTTACCACAGCAAAGAGGCAGTGTATGCGTTCAATCATTTTAATGCACCGCGATAATATAATATACCCAGGCACACCATTTCAATCTCCTGCTGCTTCGAGGTAGCTGTTGTAGCGCTCTTTTGTATTGCCAAGCCAAGAAAAAAGCCAGAAGCTAGAAGTAGACTTAACACACGTAAACAAAATTGAAAAGGCTTAATTGAGTTATTTTTGGGCGATTTATAGCCAATATGATTAAATTTTGAGACCAAAAGATGTGCAAGATGTCAATTTCACAATAAACCTTGCGCATGATGAAAAGTTAATCGGTGGATTTTACCTCATATTTCATGGTTGTTCAAACAAAACTCATGCTTCCCTTGTATCAACATTACCCAATCCAATTCTGATAAAAAAGCGGCGAAAAAGCGATGATCTCTCTCCATAATGGTTGTTTTGGACCTCGAAACAGTCGTAATGTTTGCCCCGCGACGATACCAGAAATCTTTGCGAGAACACAAGGATCCGATTACTGGCAACTCATTCATTGGCTTGCATAACTCAAATAAGGATCATAGACGCTATTATTGTAAGGGGATCTTTTAAGGTTTGGGATTCTTAAATGTTTTTTAGTTCTACAGATAGTGTCATGTCTGCATCATGTAAGAGTTCGTGTAAGGTTGTTAAACATTTAAAACAGAATGAAAAAGCGATTGGCTTTTGTGCAAAAATTAGCGTAAAATTATGCCTCCTCGATGTGAATTCCGGATGAAAGTCAACTTCTTCGATGTGAATTTCGGGTGAAAGTCAACTCTAAGCAATTTACTGCTACATTCAACGTGGGAAACAAAATACAAATTACATCGCCTTCAAAAACCAAACTAACCTTCACAATCAAAACCATCTCCAATAAACGTAGGATTGCAAGAACAGTTGTATGAGCCCTGGGTATTAGCGCAAGATGCATTCCAATGGCATTTGTCCATTTTAATGGGATAGGCCTCGCTGCATTCGTCAACGTCTGAGAGAACGTACGAAAATGGTAAAAAAAAATTGTCGAAGACTTGGTCAGATAAGGTCAGAGAAAAATATACAATCCCTTCAGGAGTCAACGTCTCATTTCTATAAAAAAATTTTACTTTTCCCTTTTCCCTTTTTTATTAATTTTTGCGTTTGCCACAAATCTTATTAGTGAGATAATTTGGTTTCATCAACTGAGGTAATAATGTAAAATGACCACCGTAATAGTTACGAAGCTGACGTTTTGAGCGTTAGCTTTAAAACTCCTTGCGGTGGCCAAAATACGCGATCAACTCGGTTGATAATGCTTAATCACCCTGTTATACTCTCCCACCGACGCAGCATCACAGTTTCTTTAGAGACTTACCTCATTTATTCATCGCTCTTTCTATCAGTTTACTTTTTCGAATGGTTTCCCAACATCTGCAGACGTTTACTACGTTGGTAAACTGATAGAAAGTGGAGTCTGTTACTTTAATAACACAAACTTCAATTTTCCATGGATTTATCGGCGCGATCAACGGTTGTTTTTTGACCAATCAGGGCACTCGTAGTATCTTGACTATTTTATAAAACTCGATGATAATAATTTTTAACTTTTTCATTCAAATATATCTTAAGCGTCAACGAAAACGTAGCACCATGGAAAATCAATATCCATCCTGTTCAGAGCCAAACGAGCGATTCATTTTCATGCTTCTTTCAATCATTGTGATAACGTTAATTTTAGAGGAGAATAGCAATGCATCAGTCACCAAAATTATTCATTTAAAAGTCAGGGACATTACGTCAAAGGTTCGTAACATGAGAAACGGCTTCTAAAATCCTAACGATTCATGAGTAATAAATTATCTAATTGTCTCGCAACGCGGCCGAATGGTACGGCGCTGTAGTCAAACGTGTCATGCAGGACTATTATAAATATTGCAACGAAGAAATTAAATTCAGCTGTGTAGGTTTGTCCATTCCCAGTATATCCAGGCTGACATTCACATACATGTGATCCATGTGTATTATTGCACTAAGCATTCACGTGACAGGAGTGATTTCCTTTACACTCGTCAATATCTAAGAAACCTAGATGCATTTTGTAGTTTATTTTTGTCACCTAACGATTTGTAATTGAATAATTTCAAATAATAAGCAAAGCTTTCAATTTTTCGTCTTTAATGTGCAATCTAGATATTATATTCTCTTCTCCAATGTTATTTATTTTACATCTCCTAACATGATGGCTCTCAAACAAACCGGATGTAGATCATGGCAACTCCGTGCATAAACATGTATTGGTAATGCTGCTAAAAAAGCAAAACTTACCACTAGTGTGACAATAGTTCCTGCTAAAAATTGCTTTGTTTAATGCTAAGGCTTCTCTGATATAGCATGAAAGCTATTATTGGTCTATTATTCACTTAATTACTCGATTGTAGATAGCTCAAAAGTACAGAGCTTTTAGGCGAAAAAGAATTAAATATTGTACCTCGGCTTGTCTGTAATTATTTTACCTGAGCACGAGTGTCCATCCCCACAGTATTGGAGCAGTTTGCATTTTCGTCACAAACGTTATTGCTGCCTCTGCATTCATCGATGTCTAATTGGAAATTAATCGAAGAAATCACTGAGACGAGGTGAAAACATTTCACAAAAGGCAAGGACAAGGGCAGACCAAACACTGTGTAAATTCTGTTCCTGGTATACTGACTTACCTTCCAAAATCATGTCGCAGTAAACCAACAAGGCACGATAACGCTGGTAATTCAGGAATAGATCCCAAGGGGGCTATGATGTAGACATGACTTCATTAATATATAGTTTAAGGTTAATAGAAGTTTCAAAACAGTTTAGTGTTGAAAATATATTTGATCGGGCAAGGTAAACACGGAATAATACTAATAATAATAAAGATCTGTGAATTTTAGCTGATATTAACGTCTTTAATAACAAAGAAATCAGACATTTGCTCTCGGAAAGTGGCAGATTTTTACTAAGAACTCATTGAGAAAGATTTGTATGTAAAATAAACTAAACCGGATACATACTTCTACCACTAATGCATCCCATGTAAAAGCGTAAATCATCTGGCTGGAAATTCTCGGGCCTTGCTTCCTTGGTTCGGGTGTTTAATTCACAGTACTTTTCCCCAATTACATAGTTGTAGCTTTGACATATCGTATCTTCTCGCAGGTGATATCGCACACATGAGGAGCTGTTACTGGGACCTTTTTAAAGACGAATGCTTAGAGAGCCATACCAGGTACGTTAACTTCTGTCTTGCACGGATTCTTAGCAATAGCGAGGTTCATGAGATACAAAGAGGCCAATAGGATGAGGAAGCTTGAATTCCACGCCATCGTCACCAATGCTGAGATTGGAAAGTGTATATTATTTAGGAATATGCTTTGAACGTTTTTTTCTGGCCCATGGATTTAACGCAAACCAAACCAAACAAGTAAAAAACCAAAATGCTCTAAAAAAAAGACGGAGGGACGAACAAACGGAAGAGAAACGAAGAAATCCATTCTAAGTCGGCTGCAAGTCAACAACACGTCTATTAAATGTTTTACTGTCTCAGTCGCTACACCTTTGTTCATCTACTTCTTCGATATCGGCAACTATTACATCTCTTGCAGTTATTTGGGAATTGTAAAGGTTGTTTCTTAGACAGAATCGCGACTGAGATTTTGATCGGCCTCACAACTAACAGATGAAAATGAAACGAGTGAGGCAAGCATCCAAATATTTGTTGAAATGTCTTGATCCATTTTGTTATGACAACAAAACATTTCGTGACTATTCGATTTATGGGGGAGAATATTCAAGATATGGCAATTTAATAAGAAAACAAAGGTTAAATAAGACTCCCGTTTTTCCTTACCTTATTGTGCTTGCAATTTTCGCGCGAAAGATTCGGTTTGAACAAAATGATTCGATTGCTCCTCCATATCGGTTTAAGAGGGAAGATATGAGGCTGAACTTGCATTGTGAATTCGTCGATTGAATTGAGGCTTTTTAATTGAAAAAGGCCAGTTGAATTGCGGAAGATCTTTGGTCTCGATTTTATTTCTAACGTTATACACGGAAGAACTGTTTACATGATTTCTGTACCGCTTACACGAATCTCTAATTTTTCTTTAACGGTAAAAGAATTGCCTTGTCGTAGGTTGTGCTGGTAAAAGATGAGTACTTGCTTCTTTGAACTCTTTGCGCTTGCAATTTTTTTTTTCACCTCTGCTCAAAAACGAGTGCACTCAAACATTTCAGAATGATGTGTTGACATACTTAGGAAAAGCCCTGAAGAAATTACATCCGCACTTTGCGTCAAATTGTTGCCAGGTAGCTTCTTCACTCAGTGCACAGCCTTTATGCATTGCAACTTGAGTCCGAGATAATAACACTTGTGTGACTTGAAAATAATAGGTTTAGAGAAAAGTTGTTTCGAATCATTTATCCAAAATGAACCTCATGATTCCGTTCTTACCGAAACTTATATGAACGCTATCAATTCTTTGTTTTAATTGTTTATGCTAGTCTTAAAGACCACTTCAGCCCTCTATATAAAGAGAATAAAGTAAGTTCCCGCACGACATTTGCTACAATTTTTTTTCCGTTTAATCTTTTCCAAGGCACCGCAAAACCTCAAAACCGTCGAGGGAAAGTAGAAACAAAGTAGAATTCGACCACCATCGCGTTAAAACAAATACACAGGCCTTCTATGGATGGCATTCATAGGTGATATCTGAAAACTAAATCCTAAAAGGTAGCAGTAGTTAGTTTGCCGTCAAATATTTACCAAACCCTACTTTGGGATTTAAGTCAACTTATTCTACGTAACTCTAGAGCTGATAAATATACGAAATGCGGTCCTCAACCACCTGATTGTTATCGAGTTAAAAATGCTGTTTTTCATCAAGGTATTACAACTATGATTATGATACCAACCGTTTGTTTTAAGCCAATGTATAAAAATTAACATTAAAAAAGAACTTCATCGTTTCTGTTTTGGCTCCTCGCAAGTATTGAATTCAACAAGATCTGGGCCGGAAGTTAAAATATTATAATCGTTCTGTTTGCGATATTTGCCAACCAATAGCGAAGATGCTTGTTTCATTAATTTTAAATGAAAACTAATCGGTATAAATTATTAGCTTTTAGGCACGAATTAAGGTTTGGTAAATTTTAACTACAAACATACCAAAGCTAATTTAAAATCAGCTCATAACATATCCCTCTCATTTTTTTCATTATCCATTGCCTGACTAAAGAAACCCATCCGTAACCTAAGGAAAACATAATTAACCTCGAGGATAGTCAAATTGTCTGTTCTAAGTAAAGCAAATATTGATGATGTGGGATGCAGTTAATTTGTTCATAGTAAACAAGATTCCATTATTCGAGAACGACATAAAAACTTGAGTGAAGAAATGAAGCTACAATTCGAATTTAAGTTTAGGATCAGGCCAAGTAAATTGCAGAAATATTCTACGGAAATGCAAACAAACTTACGAAATTCCAGAAAAATATGAATAATTTATTACTCAGTCTGACACTAACAATTGGGCGACTGTGAAGTGCATTTAAGTTAATGACCCTGCAAATGTGACAGGTTCTTTTTGGTCATCTAACGTGTTCAAGTTCTTTTTATCCTTACCTTACTTAATTTATGATGTGTGTTGCTCCCAAATTATACTTACTGAAGAATTCCTAGCGTGTCTTTCAACCCCTTCGTCACCTCAATATGATATTGTATCGTATAGGTTGTTTTAAAATGAGAGACTTGACAGGTCCTAACAGCTATTAATGACCATCATTTGAATATAAAACTTATATACTATTATAATAAAGTTCGGATATAACGCGCGCTGTCATTGGTTGAAAGGGCGTGCTCTATGAGAGTATAGAGCATAGAACTGAGCTACAGCTGTCACGCCATCTGCCAATTGTACTATGTTCGACCTTTTCCGGGACTTCTTTTTAGCTTTTTTCCGATAATTGAAAGTGAAATTTCGGAACTGAAGCGAGCCGGCAAGTAGCAACAGAAGAATCAAACAAAGGTTTGTAAACATACCAGGCGCCGTAATTTACGTTATTAAAACGTGAGCAGATACGAAAATCCTCAAAGGAAAAACAAAAAAAACATTCCGAGTTTTAAAGACTTTCACGCTCAGTTAGATTGCAAGCTTACGTACGGTAATAAAAATCAAACACAGCTAACACTCTTATAGTGTATAAAGTTCAGTGTTCAAAAACAAAACAGAACAAAACAGAACAAAACAGAAATGATGAAAAATATAACCAAACTGGCATGATTGTTAAAATTCATTCTAATCATGACGGTGTCTGACCGAATATGATCATGCTGAAGTCCATCGCGGCTCGCTCATCATGGCGATCTCCAGTTATCACAGCAAGCCTCAGGAACTACATCGGCCGCCCTTCGAGTGAAAAAATAAGAGCTTGCTCTGATATCCTTTCCGATGCGTTGAGTGGAAAGTCACATCTGTCACTGCAGCCGAGTTTTGCGGCGCTGTCATCCCGAGCGATCTTCATGTTCCGGTGAATTCAGCCGTCGTTCATTCAAAAAACACTCGCCCTGAACAGTTTGTTTTCTACCTTGTCATGTGAAAAAACTTGCGTGTTTTTATGAGCCATAATTCGGCTGAAGTTCACTGAACATTTCACTTCAAGATTCTGTATTAGAGACTTAAAAACTTCAGGCAAAAGTGTTAAATTTGACCTACCGAACTAATTTAGTTTGTAAACTATCGCAGAAGGTGAACTTTGATGGTTTTTTAACTTTGATGGTTTGACACTTTTGACAGCTTTAGTCTTGTACAGCCAATCAGATTATTTGAACCATTCTAACAGGGATTCTGATTGGCTCATTGTAGCGTGCTTTATGAGAGTATAGAGCATGCTGACGACACTGTTGTTCGCTTTGGAAATAAAATTTGTTTTGAAAATTGAAAGTAATGCTCGGGGAATTTAATGGATTCTTTATTATAAAACAAATAGAGAAGCCTTGGCTGTGCTCTGTTCTGTAATAAAGCACTTAGGAAGCGACTACGTCTCGTGTTTCTCCCTACACTTCTTTCGTGCTCTAGCCGCTTCCTGCGTGCTTTATAACAGAACAGAGCACAGCCAAGGCTCCTCTATTTGTTGAATAGAGGCTCACTCTTTCTGGGTTGCTTGTTTTTTTTGTTTTTGTTTGTTTGTTTTTTTTTTTACGCGGGGCTGCTCCCTCATTTTAACATTGTTTACATGTGACATGCGACTGAACAATAGAAGAGAACTTTTGAACAAAATTTTTATTTGAAATGACTAAATTGAGTTAGAACTGTGTGATCCTAATATCCTCTAATCCTAAGGAATCTTTCAACTGAATTTGAATTTTAGACCATGAACAGGCGGTCTTAGTTCTGAAATTTCAAACCTCTCAGTCAAACGTTGGCGCTTTTCCATGGACGAGCTTTTCTTTGCAATATTTACATTCTTGTTTTGTTTCTATTGCTAAGAACTAAAGAAATTCGAAAAAAAAAATTAATATAAGTACTGTGAAACTATTTTGAAAAAAGTTTCTGGGACATGGTGTTTGTCTCAAGTTAGAACTGTGTGATCCTAATATCCTCTAATCCTAAGGAATCCTTCAACTGAATTTGAATTTTAGACCATGAACAGGTGGTCTAAATTTTGAAATTTCAAAACTCTCAGTCAAACGTTGGCGCTTTTCCATGGACGAGCTTTTCTTTACAATATTTACATTCTTGCTTTGTTTCTACTGCTAAGAACAACAGAAATTCGAAAAAAAAAGTGTAAAAAAAAAATAGTGAAACTATTTCGAAAAAAGCGTCTGGGACATGGTGTTTGTCTCAGTCAAGAGACTCGAAGTTTGAAGTGTACTCATTTAGAGTCACTCTCACCATCAACAAATCGATAATCTTATGTTTAGCGAGTAACTGATTGTGTTGCGTTATCTTTGAGATTATGTTGGGGAAAGTTTTGGAGGTTTGGGCCAGGTTACCTAAGTGCAATAGTCACTTTTTTTTCACTCGTCAATATTTGTGGAGATGTCAGGTGTCTTGATTTTGATAGAAGGTAATGATCTCTCAGCCTAGAGCAAAGTCACTCTCTTTTCACCGGTAAGGCTCAAAAAAAAGCTCAAGACAATCTCTGGGCTTCGAATGCCAACTGATTGGCAATTCACCTCCATAATAACAATAACCGTAACGTATCAAAGAAAAAGTGACGGTTGAAAAAGCAATCGGTATTTTAAGGTATTTTCATCTCGTTGGTTTGGCAGAGGCGAAAGAAAATCCATATGTTTGACTGGACAGAAGTCGGCGGTGCTCCATCTGATATGTTAGTGTACGTTTTTGCGGTTTTCTGGTTTTTCTTTCTTTCTTTTTTTTTTTTTCGAATTTCGGAAATCCAGCCAAGGAGCGCTAGAGAAGATATCTAGACACAGCAATCTCTGTTAACACGTTCATTGTTGGTTTTACTGTATTTTTTCGTTTGATTGTTTGTTTGTTCTTTTTAGAGTAACGCCAGCATGTGCACTCGCATTCGTGGTGTAAGTTATTTACTTCCTTCGGAAACAGATGACATTGACAGGAAAATAATGCAATCCAGCAATGGAAGACGAGGGGCAAAATCTCAGCACGTGGTTTTATTACCAGGCTTTATTCAGCAACAGTTCCGACTGATTCCATTTATGGAAAAAAACAATTGTTAAGCTGCAAAGTTAACGGCCCAGTGCGTTTGCACATCTTATTAGGAACTCTTCATTCACCAGCATCATGTGAAGATGAGTTTTTCTCAGAGCATTTTATGTAGAGTAATGCAAGAGGTATCCATCACTATTCTTAGCCCCTACAGATAATAATATTTTATCCCTTTGTTCTTTTATGAAGAACTTTCCCCCCCCCCCATCCGTGGGTAGTAAATCAATGTACATTCCCTTAGCACTAAGAAAGGCAGAAACTACAAGAGATACTTTTTTGCAAGGCTTTTTCTAATTACTATTTACTTAATAATAACTGGCAATTGAATTCTAACATTACTTGTGAAAATTACTTGCAATTCAATCAAGAAAGACCTACGATACTAAGTTTGTCTATTTGTTACTGAATCGTTGTGATGTAAAGTTAAAACCAGTTTGATTGATTGCTCTGTTTTTACTTCACTGGGTTCTGGTTTCATGCATTCGCCCAAACATTTCTTTGTTGTTGTTGTTGTCATTTTTCCCTGGTTATTGATATTAAGTCCACTAAAAAAATGGTAAAAGCTACTCTTTTGCGATTGCTATCAAATGAATTTGAAGAGTCTTTTACATAACCTTTGATAAGATGAGTGGTACCGAGAACCTACTCTGGCCCATGGATAACACTGTCCTAAAAAGGTCCGCGTAGGTTAAATGTATTTACAAAGAGATACACAGTTTTTGTTTAATGATGAGATTACACACGCGATGCCCTCCTATTTATACCACTCAAGAAGCTGAGTCACAAAGTGACCCAGCACAGATCACTTTCCTTTGAAAAGAGCACCAACGATTTTTGGATAGTTCGATACGTTGTTAATAAACTCGCCTTGTTTTTCTTCATTTGCTATGTGTTCAGGTCTCTTCTTGTAAATTAGAGACAAATGAACATCAAATGATTCAAAGACTAGTCTTAGAAAAGAAGTGGCTCTTGCAGGTTTCTTTCCTGTGCTCATTATTTTTCATAGGATTCTTTAAACATTTTTTCAGGATAAAAGAAGGAAAATTTCACAGTGAGAAACTATGATTTTGATTTCAAATCTAACATTTCTGTGAAAGGTTGTTGGTGATGTGCTTGAATGGCGTACAGAGTTATTTACAACATCTAACAACTCACCTATACTACTCTAAGTCTTATTTTAGCACATCGCAGCTTCGAATATTTTTCTTTTTAAAAACTACGTGCAGTTTGTAAACGTAATCGTACACATGCACGTTGAACTCGCCCTAATGGCTTATGCAATTTAGTAAGCCTTTGAAAATTTACTCGTGCTGATTTCTCCCAAACTGCACTCGAAACGCGTGATCACCTATACAAATTACTGAAGAATTATTTTAACAAATTTCATCTTGAATGAATGAAGTGCCTGCGCGCTTAATCGAATAAGCTGCTTAGGTACAATTTGAAGCCATTGCGTAAAGAACTTTAACTTTAACTTTTAACAAAACCAGTCTCATTTCGAATGAATCCTGGTCGATTCGAACACATTTGACGCACGGTTACGACAGACTGAACCATTGAATTTTGCTTACTGTGTGTCTGGAAATTGGTTTAACCTTTCAAGATACTGAGCCACGATTATTAGGTTAACTTTATGTAATTTCATAGCAGATCAGGTTTTGACTGTCTTTCCTTATTTTTTTTTTTTTCTTCACCGACATCGTAAAATAGCGCCTGCTTGTATTCCGCCAACCTACGCTAAGATAACCACGGTTAATAATTACAGCTAAAGAAGGATTAAAAAAGAAAAATAATCTAAAAAAAAAATTCACAATTAAAAGGCTCGAAAACCATCAGCTCGCTGATGAGAATTATCATTCTAATGAAATAAATACCTGTTTGTCACCAAAGTTAAAATCTGCTGATAATGTTCACGATAGAGAAGAAAGGTTAACTATATCACACAAAAACCTTATACACATATATCTACGGAGCGATTTATGAGTCTTCTTACTACGCGATGTATATTTGCTTCACATTCAGTCTGTACCACAGTAGCGTGAGGTACAACTAGGTGGGCGAAGTATGTAGATGAAGTAGGATCCACAGTTTTTTACTGAAATATTTGCTGAGTATTTGCAACCAGCAGAGCGATCACTAAAGCAGACCGTTCTCTGAACTTCACCATCTTCCAGTGTAGGATGAGCACCTTTCAACCAGCCTGACCAGTCTGTACCACATCTGTATGCTGACACACGTTTTGTTGGTATTTTTGTTCCAGCATCCCCCACAAAACGATACCATCCCACAAGGAGTTCGTTGTCACATAACACTGGTCCAATTTCCGGAGTTATGTAATCTTTGTTTCGATTGGCTTCACTCAGGTTTGAGTATTGATAGCAAGGATCGACTACGAAATGGAATGAAAATTGCAAAAGGACTTAGTTACTAAAATTGATGCTTGGATATCTTTTCTGACGTCTTATAATTTTGGCAGCTTGTCAATCAGTGGTGAAACTTGTACTAAACAAGAAAATTGACCATGCTTTAATTAAGGGTTCAAGTAGTACATGTGTAGGATATCATGACTCGAAGAGGCTAAAACAGTGATAATGGAGATTCAAATAAATTCAGCAGGATTGTAATTTGAGCTCCATCTTTCTCGTACGGGGCATTAAATGAAAAGCTCTAGGCAGACTTAAGGCACAACTAGTGTCATTTACATATGACAAACTAATAATATGGCCGACAGTGGCCACCCAACAGCTTCAGGTTAGATTCGAGCAGGAATATTCTAAATATTACAGCAAAGAGATTAAATTCGCCTGAGCAGCATTGACCATTTCCATTAAATCCAGGCTGACAGTCGCAAACATAGGATCCATAGGTGTTCGTGCAGATAGCATTCATGTGACAATAGTGATTTCCTTTACATTCGTCAATATCTGAGAAACCATAGAAACATTTGCATTTTATTTTGTTTGTGTCTCACGAATTAGATATTTGATATTTGAAACGTATTTTTCATCACGAATATTTCAATTTATAAACTTGATTTATCAACTCTGAAAGAACTGGCTTATTCCTGCAGCTCCCAAAAAGCGATACCTTTACCCTTGGGGGCTAAGTCGTCACAAAAAACTAAACCAAATTGCGGTGTAGCATAATAGCTCTTTCTATTGGCATCACCCAAGTTTTGATAATCATAACATGGATCAGCTGTTAAATTAAATAAGCATTATAAAAAGATTGTAGTATCAAAGACAACATTTTTTGTTGTTGAAATTTTTCAAGTCAATCAGTTCGACAACAACCAGACAGGAATTGGGTTTAAGAAGAACAAATATGCATTAAGTAAATTTTAAAGAAGAATTTGCTTCGGACAATGATGGTGCCCAAAGGAAGGAAAATGAAATGGTAGCATTTTAAAGGGTTATGTTTCCTCTTCCTTTAATCGCTCATCAAAGCCTGAGTTGTTTGTACCTCAACCTCAAGACATTTTTTATCCTCAGCTCCCATACAACGATATCAGCCCACCCCCATTATTTCTCAGGAGTGTGTAATAACTCCCTGCCTTTTAGCATCATCCAATTATTTATAATCATAACGCGAAAAGGTTCAGATAAGATCAGAGAAAAATTAACAATTCCTTCAGGACTTAACCTAACCATTTCTTTTCGATTCATTTTCCTTTTCCCTTTTCAAAATTTTTTGTTTTTGTTTTCGCATTTATGATGAATCTGATTAGTGATATAATTTGGTTTCATCAAATGAGTTGATGATGTTAATTGGCCATCATTAAGAGTCTTAAAGCTGACGTTTCGGGTGTTTGCTTTAAAACTTTTTATGGTGGCCAATTTACGTTATAAACTCATTCGATAATACTTAATTACCCTGTTATACTCTCCCACCGATGCAGCACCACAGTTTCGTTAGAGACTTACCCACTTTATTTATCGCTCTTTCTATCTGTTTAGTGTCGACATAACCCACGCGGGATGTTGTGAGAACACTAGAAAAAGTTTGTAATTCCGAGAAAGAGGTGACTGATTTCCTTTTATTTTCGAATGGTTTCCCAAAATCTGAAGACGTTTACTACGCTGGTTAGCCGATATAAATTTCAGTCTGTTACTTTAATAACATAAACTTCAATTTTCCACGGGTTTACCGGTGCAATAAACGATAGATTTTTGACCGATCTGGGCGCTCGTAGTATATTTATTATTTAATAAAACTTGATGATAATATTTTCAACCTTTTCCCCTCAATTATACCTTATACCGTCACCGAAAACGAAGCGCCATGGAAATTCGCTTACATATCCATCCTATGCACAGGGTTTAGAGCCAGTCGGGCGACTTTAATTTCATGCTTTTGTCAATCATTGCTATAAGATTAATTTTAAAGGTCTGGATAGCGGCAGATATGTAACGAATTTAAGAAAATAAACGACACTTTTTAAAAACATGCTGTGACAGTTCTTCAGTCATTTTCAGTTCTGATTTCTACAAAGTACAAAGTTGAATTTAAAGTGTCTAACAAAATGCTGATTGAACAAAACAAACAATAGTAACAGAACAATGCGTGCATTTACAAGGAAAGTTTTAAATTAACATAATAAAGTTGATAATTAAGTGTAGGTTTCTCTTATTGAAAGTGGATAGCTTCTTTCATTTTAAGTTGGAAAAATCTGGAAGCGTGATCTAAAATGCTAAAACACTTATCAGAACATAGGCTGCGAGATTGTGGAGAATTGTGCAAATAGCTGAAAATGTAGAAGCTCCTATCACTGACCAAGTGTTCACGACACGTGTGGATAAATGACGGCAGTATTACACCGTAATGAGTGCAATCCCTCGGTCTCCGTTTTAGACACTACGATAACCTTTTATTCCAAATTACCTTACATTGGCCCTTTTTCTGCTGTCACGCAAAAAGGAGTTCGCCAGGGGTTCGCCAGTTTGCTAAGCGTTGTTGTAACAACGTCCATTTCTTTTAGATTTTTTCCTTTTCGATCTTTTTTATCTTACCTTATCAACTGAGTTGAAAATGCAAATTAGCCACTGTAAAGAGTTTCAAAGCAAACGTTTCGAGCATTCGCTGTAAAACTCTTTACGGTGGCCAATTTACGTCATCAACCCAGTTGATAATACTAAATTACCCTGTTGTACTCTCCCAATGACGCAGCACCGCAGTTTCTGTAGAACCTTACCACCTTTATTTATCGCTCTTTCTATCAGTTTACTGACGATATAATCCACGCTGGATTTTGTGAGGACTAGCTGGAGGCGATTGATCTACTTTTTCTTCGCATGGTTTCCCAACAGCTGAAGACGTTTACTACGTTGGTAAGCCGATAGAAAGTGCGGTCTGTAACATTAATAACGTATATAAACTTCAATTTTCCGCAGGTTTACCGGTGCAATCAACGATTGTTTTTGTGACCAATCAGGGCGCTCGTAGTATCTTGATTATTTTATAAAACTTGATGATAATAGCTTTCAACTTTTTCACTCAAATTTGTTTTAAGCGTGAAAGAAAACGTAGCACCATGGAAAATCACTTACATGTCCATCCTGTGCACAAGGTTCATAGCCAAACGAGCGATTTTTTTTTTTCATGCTTCTGTCAATCTTTGTGATAAGGTTAATTTTAAAGCAGAACAACGTATCAGTGACCAAAATTGTTCATTTAAAAAAAATATTACAAATATTATCTAAGAGGTTCTTAACATGAGAAATGGCTGCTTAAATCAAAACCAGTAATGAGTAATAAATTGTCTTACAACGCGACTGAATGGTGCGGCGCTGTAGCCGGAAGGCATACGGGACTACTAAAAAACTTTTGCAGCGAAGAAATTAAATTTACCTGTGCAGTTTTGTCCATTTCCAGTATATCCAGCATGACATTGACATACATGTGATCCAAGGGTGTTCATGCATGAAGCATTCACGTGACACGAGTGATTTCCTTTACATTCGTTAATATCTGTAAAATCATAAACATAACTAAAAAAACAAACTTTAATTGAATAAAAGTTGCCGAGCATAACGTAAGAAACCATAGTCTTGTTTTCTTGGGTCCTAGACGCAAGCACTTCACTTTAGCGCTCACAAGATTTTTTCTTGGTTCCCCGCGAGTTTGAATCCGTTGTTCTGTCCTGTAATTCACCTATGCAGCTTTGTGCATTCATTGATTTCCTTTACATGATTTCCTTTACATTCGTCAATATCTGAGAAACCATATATACGTTTGCTCTTTAAAATGGGATAACTCTCAATCATGTTATTCCTTTGATAATTGTAAATAATGAAACAAATTTTTGTTAAATAAATGAGATAACATTATCGTGTTTCTCGAATTAGATGTTTGAAACGTGTATATCGTTACGAACATTTCAATTTATCAAGCTAACGGCCCTGAAACAACTGGCTTTTTCCTGCAGCTCCCACAAAACTATATCATCCCCCAGGGAATAAGTCGTCTTAAAACACAGGACCAAATTGGGGTGTGGCATAACTGCTCTTTCTATTGGCATCACCCAGGTTTTAATAATTATAACATTGGACGTTTATTAAATTAAATAAACATTACAAAGAGATTGTAGTATCAAAGATAACATTTTTTGTTGTTGACATTTTTCCAGTCAATCAGTTGGACAACATCCAGAAGGGACTTGTATTTTACAAGAACAACTATGCATTAAGTAAATTTTAAAGAATTTTCGTTGGACAATGATGGTGCTCAAAGGAACTAAAATGAAATGATAGCACTGTAAAGAGTTATGTTTCTTCTTGCTTTAATCGTCTATCAATTAAAGCCTTTGTACATCAACTGGATGCTACCAAATGCGTTTAAGACATTTTTGAGCCTTAGCCTCCACACAACGATACCAGCCCGGAGGTGTTCTGTAGTAACCCAATTATTTTCCTGGAGTGTGTTACAACTCTCTGCTTATAAGCATCATCCAATTATTCATTATCATAACGCGAATTAGCTCGCATAAGTCAAACGAGTTTCATTATCATATTTGCTATTCTTAAGGGAATCTTTTAAGGTTAGGGATTCTAAGAGTTTTTTTAATTTTAATTTTTGATTTCCTTTTTGATTTTCTTTTTTTTTTAACTTTTATCATCCATCCTGTGCACACATTCTGTGCACAGGGTTCAGAGCCAAACGAGCGATTTTATTTTCATGCTTTTGTCAATCATTTTTATGGGATCTATTTAAAAGTAGAATGAAAATGCATTAGTCACCGAAATCGTTCATTCAAAGTTGGGAACATTACCCAAAAGGTCCTTAACATGAGAAACGGCTGCTTATATAAATTAAAACGAGTTATGAGTTAACGCGGTGGAATGGTGCGGCGCTGTAGTCGAACGTGTTGGGTAGTCTATAAGGTAGTCTTTAC